GATGTAAAATGAGCTCAGACACAAGCTAATCCAACCTAATATTTACTTCACTGCAAATAAATTACAAACAGCAGCTTTTCATTCCACAATCCTGTATCAGTAAAAATAAGATATTTTACCCAAAACACCAAAAGGAAAAAAAAAAGAATGCGTGACTAATAAGAATTAATAAAAAACATTCATGTATGCTTTTCGCTCTCATTGTATTGAGCATACATCGATGCATCCCTCAGCAGACTTGGGACAGCAAGGTATCCCGATATGCACTGTGTCACAAACCACTATATTCCAAACAGAAAATGGCAGAGGAGAAAGCTCATTTATTGAAAATACTAATAATTACAAATAAACAGAACTTTACCTGTTATTATATTTAATTGTGTGTAATCTGTAAAAGTGACTGCTGGTTTATTTTTTCTGATGATTGACGGTTCCTCAAAATGCTAATTAGCTGCCCCACTAGCAAAATAAACTAAATTATTTTTGATTACAAAAAGTTTTTTCTTAATTTAACAGCAGGAAATGTGGATATTTTATCAATTTTAATAAAAAGCAGACCAAATATTATAACAATAAAATGTAATAACTGTTATTTTGTTATTTAAGGGACTGTTACTTAGGAAAGTGGTCAATTTTCACCACCTAACTGACCACTATAACCTTTCATCTACAGACATAAATCCACTTTCTATTCAAATTCAATTCAAAGATACTTTATTAATCCCAGAGGGAAATTAGAGTTTCAGTACACACAATTTTGAGATCAGACATACATACATAGGCATAGACATATGACAAGGATTGGTGACTGTGGTCATTCGCAACCCGAGCCACGCTACCTTAAAAGAGATCAGAGGGTTTATATATGAGGATTAAGTCAGGAGGAAAAAAAGGCACTTCAGAGTTACCCTCCACAGGGAGGGCAGATTTGCTATGCAAAAACATCTCAGACAGAGATGCAACAGACTTCAGATATTGCACAACATAAGTGTCTTCTAGGTGGGGAGGTAGGGTTGGGGACTCTCCTCACATCAGTGCATGCAGCCGCAATAAGCAGCGCTCGTCACATCTGTTTGGACAGGGGGGAGGTAGTTGGGTTTTAGAGAGCACAGTGACTCCTGGAACGATTCAATGGCCTTTGGTCGCAGTCCCTCCCAGGCTGGGATAAGGAGACGGAGTTGCCATGGCGACGGCAGCATTCCACATTTCTTCTGAAGGGGGAGTAGTCGCTTCAGCCTCACAGGCTCAAGGGCACCAGATTCAGATAAGAAATTGTTTTGGGGCCAGACAGATATAATTTACTCGCCGTCTTAAAGTTCTGTTGGTCTTCAACCCCTCTTAATCCAATAATGGCGTAAATTAATCTATCCCAGTCCGTGCTGATTCATCAACTCGCTCCTTGATGGAATCCACCTTCTGTGCCAGAGTCTGAATCTCAGCCAAAGTTCCAAGCTTACGACTCATCTCGACAATGATATGAGTTTGTGCGTTCACAGCGCGGTGTAATCCATCCCTGAGCTCCAGGATTGAGCCAATATTCCTTGACAGCTCGTTAATTTTCCAGTAAGCCAGGTAAACTCCCAGGCCAAGGAGCAGGAAACCTGACACCAACACCACACATATCCAGACGTCTGCAGAATCCTCTACAGACAGCTGAGACAGGCAGACCAAGTTCCACTGTTTCCAGGAGTCCATGACATGCCCAACTGGCTCTATCCCAGAGGGGCATCCGGGCCTCCAAATCCAGAAGGTTCTGCTCAGTGCGTGTTTACATACAAGAAGACATAACAAACTGTCAAGGTCTCCTGCAAAGGTCCTGCACTCTCTGTGTAACAGCCAGACGGCTGATTCCTCACCCTAAATAAAAATCAAACTTACTTGAAGCCCCTACCGCACTTTACTACTCATAAGCTTAAATAATCATATGTGTTGAATGAACAAGATGTTTAAATCAAATTGAGAGCACCATGTGAGCACCTGTGTGTGTGCACGCGCTTGTTTATGTAAGGTTTCGCTATAGGAGCGTCCAATAGAGATTGTGAGGGACCACAGATCTGCCCCCCAAAGATGTGTAGGAGACGGAGGGAGCTCCAAGTCCCAGAGATCCAGGCGCTGCCCCAGAACACAGGAACCCCAAGGAGACTGCAACCAGAAAGGCCCCCTCCCCCCTCGAGAGGCACAGAGGATCGCCCCGGGGGGCCACAACCAGCAGCCGGCAGAGTCCCGGGAGATATCATTCACAAAGTGTTAAAACATCTTTGTATCTGAAGAAGGCACGGCTTTCTGAGGGATGTTGATAAAGAATCAAACGTGTCAAATTCCGATTTGGCAAACTTGGCCAAAATTCTTAACATTGTGGCTTATTAAAACAAGAATTATTTCCCGATTAGCTCAGTTTCTAGCGGACTCTCGAACCGGCCAATTCGGGAACAAGCACTTTTGAGACATCTCTTTTGACATGCAGTCAAAAGCCTCCTTGCACGCTGCAAGCTGACACAGCCAGACGGCCCTTTTCAGAGCCAAGCAAACATTAACCTTAGATGCAAGTAAGCATTCCAGCTTCCTGCCTTTACCTCGAGGGATCTCAGACTGGACGGGTCCTATCTGAGTTTTCCACGGGCTCCTGATATCAGAGTTCACTCCACTGTGACCAGCCCCCCCCCCCCCCCCCCCCCAATAGAACGAGAACCTCCACACAAAGGGTGCGTAGACTTGGCACAGATTGCGTCGGATGGTTTTTAAATAAACAACTCTAGTTATAAACAACAACAAATTATTTTACAACCCGGACTTCACAACTTGCTCAGATACAAAGAACGGTTGCTAAAACATCTAGCTTCCATTACATCACATCTCATTGTTCATATCTTGTCATGTATAATCATTAGTTTAGGAAAAATAATTCAGTTAATTTCATAAACTATATACTGACTCCGTCTGAATTAATATGAAGTGTGTTTGTTGTCCCTAAAGAAGCAAAGAACCCTAGAATCTTCTGATTAAACACTCAAAGATCAAGCAGGTTGATATTTCATATTTGTATGGAATCATCACACCTTATTGGTCATAATTAACTTATGTATTCCACTGCAGGACAAACTAGCCTTTTTTTATATTTCAGGTCATTTTTAACCATAGCATGAAAAAGCTTTTGTTGTCTTGATGTAACGGAGTACAGATCTGTTCTGTTGTCCTCGTCCACCCATACTCAGTAGAACAGACTTTCTGCTACACTTGTCAAAAACATACTTGACATGTACACAAAAATGTACTAGCACACTTGGGTTTTGAGAACTATTCTATTCTATTCTATTCTATTCTATTCTATTCTATTCTATTCTGCTGTTGTAAACATTGTCGCGGTAGATAACTCTATAACCTCTGATAGCAAAATGTTGATTCCTCTGCATCAAAGCGAATAACACCAGAAGCCTCATGAGTGCACCAATCATCTTAACTTTGTCTGAGTGTTATTCTCATTCCCATCCTGTGATTCAAATACTGGAGGCCGAATTTGCCTATGAAAAACCCCAAAAACAATAGAATAGAAGTTTTGTTTGGTTTTCATTAGAGAAACCCACAAACATGCATTTTTTCTCTGAATTCTGATGTCATTTTCTTATCTATCAGATTTATTGTAGCTGTGTTAGAACAAACCGCATTTAAATGCCCTGCATGTGTTTGTGTTTATCGTGTAGCTGTAAATATCTCAATGAAAATGAATGGCCTGACCTCTTTTTACAGCTATTTAAAGGTGAGTGTATGTCAAACTTAAAATCAATGTCACTTAATACCCAACCACAATTCTTTTGTAATGACTCACTGGGTGTTGACCTTCCCTCGGCATCACTCTGCAGCTCGTTCTGCTGTGCACACACAGTGCAGCCGGCCTGTAGATATGTCAGGCCTTCAGTAAACACTAAATGTAAATGGTAAAGATCCTCTCAATGGGCCCGCTGAGCATGACTTATATTTAAAGCTTTTGTTAATCTGCCAACTTAATTAAGTCTCATCAGAACATTGCAGCTTGCTGGCTTATGATGCATGAGAGGATCACTGTGCAGACAGATGACAAAGATGGATCCTCTCATTAGCCACCGAGATGGAATCGACTATAGAGGCACTGCTGTCATTTGAATATGTAGCTGTGTTGTTCGGGGGATGTCAGAAGGTCAAGAGAGAACTAAACTGGATTTACAGCAGCTTAAAAGGTGACATGTTTAAGGTTATAGGTCATGCTTGCTACACTCAAGGGCTGGGAATCTACATAAGATTATTTTATTCATCTAATGGAAAAAAAAGCTTTAGGAACAAACGGAGTTCAACAGTGCTTTTGATTTGTTTTGCTCTTTCTCAGCATTTAGCACGCCACAACAACCATGATGGTTAGAGCCTCCTGGTGCGGGCAGCTTCCATGTAGTCCATCATTTCTAACCATGTGTGAATCTTAATGAAACTCTTTAAGTTTATTAGTGAGGAGGGAGAAGAAAAGTGTAGATGTTGGAGAATGTCGTGTCACTTACATCCTTCCTCACACTTAGTTTTAGTCAACCCTAACCCACACAATGTTTGTCAATTTCTGCCAGAAGTAATAAAAATATTCAGAGATGTTCAATATGAGTACCATCCATCCATCCATCCATTTTCTGAACCCGCTTGTCCATGTAGGGTCATGAGGGGTGGGGGGTGGGGGTGGGGGGGGGGGGGGGGTGCTGGTATCTCCAGCGGGCTATGGACGTCCATCGCAGGGCAACACAGAGACACACAGGACAAACAATCACGCACACACACACTCACACCTAAGGACAATTTAGACAGACCAATTAACCTAACAGTCATGTTTTTGGACTGTGGGAGGAAGCCGGAGTACCCGGAGAGAACCCACGCATGCACAGGGAAAACCCAGGACCTTCTCGCTGCAAGGCAACAGCTCTAACCACTGCGCCACTGCACAGCCCAACATGAGTACCTCAAAAGGGAAATAAAAAGAAGACATAGCAAATATTTCTAGTCTTTATTGTGAAACCCCCACCCACGGGTTTAACCTCAGTTTTGGGATTTGGAAAAAAAAATTGCTTACATGCAAACAACAGAAAACAGCAGAAAAGATCAAAAATTCAAGGCCACTGGCTTCAACAGTGGAGAAATCTGATAGAAGACAAAAATGGATGACTTCCAATCTCATCACTGATTAGGTTCCATTTTCATTTACTATTATTAAAGCCAACTTTCAACACTTTAACATCAATTCAAAAAGACTTATCTGTATCAAAGTGCATGAGAATCTAGTTCCCCCCTCCAACGCCTGCATATGTAGTGAACAGACATTTGTAGCCACTATTAGCTCTTGAGTTTATGAGCAGCAGTTATTGACCAACTTGTTTACTCCAAGAGTTGAGGGGAATACATTATTTCTCAAAACAGAAGGAAGGATCAGTCCTGAGGTTAATGAGGTAGAAAGGGCTGATGTTGTTTTAGAAGCTTTTAGATGCACAGCAACAAAAAGTATGGAACTATAATTGGGACAAAATGACATGTACCGTAATTTCCGGACTAAAGAGCTCCGGACCCCACGTGACTCTCAGTTAGTGGACGCCATTTTGGCAGGAAAAAAAAGGTAAACAAACACGGATGTAACCATGAATGTGAACGGGATCCGCTTGGATTTTACATCGTTGGTGTTTACTTCACACTTTATAACCAAAGAAATCGTTTTATATAGTCAGAAATCAAATAGACTAAACATCTCCGACCCTTACCGTGCCCCTGGGATACTTTTTAAAAACGCCAGAAGCTGTCGGAGCGGACTTCTTACCGGACCTGGCCGGGGAACCCCTTGGAATTCCCCCGGCCGGAGGAGCTGGGGAGAGGTCTGGGACTCTCGACGCTACTGTCCGCTCTGACGCCAGAAGCTGTCGGAGCGGGCTTCTTACTGGACCTGGCCGGGGAACCCCTTGGGATTTACCCGGAGGAGCTGGCTCCAGCGGCTGGTGGAGAGGGAAGTCAGGGCTTCTCGACGCTACTGCCCCCGCAATCCGACTCCGGATACGCGGATGAAAATGGATGGATGGATGGACAAATAACAGATTTACACGTAAGTAGTTTAAATAGAGTGCTGTGCTGTTTGAATGTATAAACTGAACGCCAAGAGAAATCACTAGTTTGATTTTTTTCCGTGAATAAAATAAATATGTCAGGCAGGAGCGTCTCCGAATCTGTCTGAGATCTGGCTCGGTGACACAGATAATAGCAATCCAAAGTGCTTTTTATGTGTGATCTGACAATTGATCAACCATTGCTTAAAAATTAAATACAGCTTAGCCGGTTAATTTCTGTGATCATAAAACACGTAAACAGCAGCACGCAGAACTCACGAGGCAACGTTTTACGTGACGTTTACTTGTTGCTATGAGTAATAAGACAGAAAAAGCCACACCAAAATAAGTTTAGGAAGCCCACTAAGAATCGTAATAAAAGCATTTAAAATAAATACCATACACAGGTGAGGAAACGTTGGTTTAAGTACCTGATATGAAGCGGTCACTGCATAAGCGAAAACCTTTACTCTCGGGATCCCACAGTTTCATTTCAGCCTGGTCACTAACGCGTTTTGTTACAATGATCCAACATTTGTGGCACTCCGGATCTTGGGGAATCCTGTAGATGGCTCATTGCTTATGTCGTCCGCGTCTGTTCTGCATCCTGGGGCACAACAGGAATCTACCATATTTCCCGTTTGATTGAGTTTTCTGACAATAACAAATAGTCCAGCTGCCGGCTTCTGCCTGCCTAATGGCGCCGTTTCGATTTGAACTGTTGCATGCCGGGAAACGTGACGTCAACTCCCGGAGCTCTATAGAGCGCACCTCAATATAAGCCGCACCGGTCTAAAAGCCGCAGATATCTACTGAATTGAAAAGGTAGTTTAACTGAACGTAACTGAACTGGTCAGCATCAAACAAAACAGAAAAGTTATTGATTAGTTTATTCATCGTCCTCCTGCGCACTGAAACCACTGAAGTCATCATCTTCTTCAGCGACGGAGTTGAACAGCCTCAGAAGAGCTTCGTCACACACCTTTTCTGTGGCAATGTCAGTGTCGCTCTCCGTGTTGCTGTCATCATCCCGGGGTGAAGCTGGGAAAACAAGCAGCGCCATTTTACTGTGAAAAAAATCCTCCTGGACGCTTTCCATAGCACTCCTTTAACCATTCCTTCATTAGACTTTCCAGCATCCATCCCTTTTGGTTGACTAAAGCTGCACCTCATGATAAGCCGCATGGTTCAAAGCGTGGGAAAAAGTAGCGGCTTATAGTCTGGAAAATACGGTAAATTGTGTCAAGCTTTGTAACCTGTGACATGTTTTGTAACTGTAACTCTCATTTTGTAGCATGTAATTCTCGTTTTGTAACACGTAATTTTCATCTTGATACACGTAACATTTGGTACGGAACATGAAACTTCCATTTTGTAACTTGCAGAAAACAATTCATGTACGAGTTTCAAATCTCAACTCTCAAAACACACATCTCAGTCTACAGTTACAAAACTCAAGTCTATAGGTACAAAACATTTTATTTCAATTCTAGTTTCCTTCCCAGAGAACCAATGACAGGCTTTGTCTGACCAGCCAATCATGAGTCTTGGATTCCTGTCCAAGATAATTCCTGTTGGGAGCAAGCTAGAATTAGGACAACATGTTTTGTACTTGTAGACTTGAGTTTTGTTACTGTAGACTGAGATTTGTGTTTTGAAAGTTGTGATTTGAAACTTTTACCTTGATTTTTTTCTGCAAGTTACTAAATAAAAGTTTCATGTTACGTACCGCAATTACATGTTACAAAAGGAGAATTACACGCCACAAAACTAATTTACATGTAACAAAATTAAAGTTACGTGTAACAAAATGTGAATTACATGCTAAAAAACAAATTTCACATTTACAAAACATGTTACAAGTTACAAAGCTTGGTACAAGTTAAATTTAATATTGCCCCAATCCTAGTTCCATAAATAAGCTACAAGCCTGTTCTGAAGTGACATAGGAATATTGAACTAGTGGTTAGTTTGAGTTGTTTGTAAAAGTTCTCAAATATAAATCAACAAAAGCTCCCATCTGCCGTTGCTAATGATAACTACTATATATTTTACATAGAAAAATTCATTAATTTCATTAATAATTAATTATTAATTTATTCCCCCAAAACACAATATAGCATCTTTTTTATAAAGTTGAGTGTTTTGGCTATTTTCTTCTGTTGCATCACTTCAGGTCAAATGGTCACTGTTTGTTTTAAAATTTGACTGCAGATCAATGCTGTTTATACACACTCACACACACACACACACACACACACACGCACGCACGCATGCACACACACACACACACACACACACACACACACACGCACGCACGCACGCACACACGCACGCACGCACGCACGCACACACACACACACACACACACACACACGCACGCACGCACGCACACACACACACACACACACACGCACGCACACACACACACACACACGTACGCACACATGCGCACACACACACACACACACACACACACGCACGCACGCGCACACACACACACACACACACACACACACACACACACACACACGCGCACACACACACATACGCAGAAAGGATGACTCCAATCTCACAATCCGGCCAAATAATTTTAGTCACATCATTTTAAAGTTTTGACACAAGAAGGATGCAGACAGTTGAATGACCAAAATAACTCAGAGTATCAGTTAAAGCCATTGAAAGGACACCTCTTCTCACCTCACTGGGTTTATTTTAAAAAGTTCAACGTTTTTGCTTCCAAAATTGTTAAAGTGGATAAAGTCCAAAATAACTTGAACAGATACTTTTGGACAAACAGGTGAAATTTTGTGTTTTCAGCTCTAATCCATCATGTTTGCGTCATATTGAGGGAATCATGGTGATACATAACCTTCACAGTGAATCACACGAGAGAATCAGAGATGATTCGGGGGTGTTTGCTGCAGGCAACAGCATGGATATCACTAACTCCTACAACGTCAAACAGTGTTTTCAGAAACTCGTTTGAGAGATTCTGACCCTGCGTGCAGCAAGACATTGATTCTAAGAGTCCCTCGAGGCTGTGGGAAGTTATTTAAAAATGAAAATAATATTGTGTCATGACTACATCAGATATGTGATCTCTACTCGCAACCTTGGAAAGATCTTGACTTAAAGAGTTACCTGACGTTTATTCAGCCAGAATCATTGGGACGTGCAAATGAAATGTTTATTAGCAAAATGAAATAAAAGGCATTTTGGGTCAAAATGATCAAATTTCATTTTGCATTTTCACATGTTACCAAAACCGTCTACCCAATGAAGGGTGAAAAACTGACTTTGTTTCCTTTTATAAATTGCAGTAATCCCTGTGAAACCATCTAGTTTTACATTGCAAGGCCAGTTTAGGGAAAATGCAATAACTGCACACGTTCACAACAGCCTGACACCCCCAGCTCATCCTAAAGAAATCCAATCACTCTACCTTGGCCACTTTGTCAAACAAACCCACGGCAACATTCAAGGACGTGACAAGTTCCTTACCTTGTGATATGAAACCACTTAAGATGCAGATGGGCTCCACTTGTTGACAAGCAATTTTCTTTCTGCTGCTTTGATACTTTGAGTCAAATCTCTATTTAATAGGCACTTCTCTGCATGCAGGTTCTGAGCTAAATCAGCTTCTGTTGATACTTGTCATAAGTCAAAGGGAGCTTCTTTTCACGATGCTATTACTCATGACATTGAATCCAGACATGATTGCTTCCAAGCTTTTGGTGGAGTTTCTGGTGAAAGCAGCATCCCCCGTGTTTTTGTTCCGTTGTGCAGCTCGGTAATGGGGTTGCGAGGTTGTGACGCTTGTTGTGGCGCACTAGAAGCTTTATTAAAATGCACAATAGAAGCTCATCAGACACAGCAAAGCTAATTTTAAACAGATGCCATTTTACGACACTTTATGTAGGCTGATGAATGTAGTTGCTGGAGGAGTGTAGCAGCTCCATGGGGAGTTTGGTTCGCATTTGCTTGGAAGGGGTTGTGTCATTTAGTTTGGGTTCAGCGAATGTCCTTCAGCTCCCCAAAAGGCGGCCCTAGAGAGTGTAGACTCAGGTCCCATGAGGTGGCTGAAGGTCACGTCTTTAAGCTCAGTGGTCCAAATTCGATTTGAGCTGTTATACAAAGGGCAACAGCTTTGTTTAGCTTTTCAATCCACTTAGATTTCTAGATTTCTCCTCCACCATCTGGACCTGCATTAAATGGATGTTGCCAAGAGATTATGGGATTGTGGCAAGAGATATAAACTGAGTGTTTTGTGACCTAAAATGCAGCCGTCACATAATATGTTGTTGCCAAGAGTCAGAGGATATGCACAAAGTTTCATGAGCAGCACATGTTAACAGTATCTGATGGAGTAATGTGAGTGTGCCCTGCTTTTGTGACCTTTACTGAGTCAGCCTGCATGTCAGGCTTTGGTGAGTGAATGAGACTGGAGGTGCTTGAGGCCGTTGCAAACATGGAGGATGAGCCGGAGTGACACGCCAACGCTGGACAGGTTTTCTCAACAAACGCTCCCGAAGGAACGAAGGCAGAAGAGCTCTCAGCTGACGTACAGCTGGGCGGGACAACAGGAAGTACAATGGAGGATTCCAGCATGGGGCCATGCACACCAACAAAATGGCCATAAGGGATGCCATCTCCCAAAGCAGCGTGACTTTCGTCAGTGTTCCCCCACCAGACGCAGGTGAGGTGTCTGATGACTGCATAGGAGATAAAGGCGAACTCAGCCTAAGCTTGATGTTGCTAGCTGGGGAAGCTGCAGAGCTAACGTGAGGTGACAAGACGTTAACGAACTCAAGGGCGTAATAGGGCAGCCAGCTGACGGCAAAAACCAAGGTGGAACCAACAAGCAGAGCTGTTGCTTTCTTGTTACGTCTGTCAGCGATGAGGGTTCCTCTGCAGCTGTGGAGGTGGGAGATGATGAGGCCACAGTTGATGGCGATGCACAGGAGGGGGGCCACGTAGTAAACCAACAGGGCCGGAACGAGGAAAAACAGCCACTCCTCCCAGCCAACTGACCACGTGCATCCACCATCAAAGTTGATGTAGGTGACCTTAGGTACGGCCATGGCTATGGAGACCAACCAAATAGCTACCACTGTGCACAATCTGTGGAAGGGTTGACAAAAAAAAAAAAAAAACGAAAAATTTATCAGATTTTTTAAGAAGAGCTACTCGTTATGAATGTCTTACCTGCAGCATCAATTGCTCATAGCATCATCAGTTTGGAACAAACTTTTGCACCACCAACCCTTATTTCCACAATATTAAAAAAACAAAAAGAAATAAATAACAAACAATAAATAAAAACAACCTGCATTAAGAGTAATAATGTTAACCATATGCAGAATTCTCTTTCAGGAGCTGGGTTCAAACCTGCAACCTTCTGATTACTGGACAACCTGCTCAACCTCCTGAACTACTGCTGCCCCTTTCACATCTCTGCATTGGATCCATCCCCGTGGGGAGTGGGGAGCTGCAGTTGTGGCTGCGCTTGGTGGTTTAAGTAGTAAACCGCACCTTTAAAGTAACTGTGGGTCTAAAGATTATTTGATACTTGACTAATTCATACTTGACAATATTTTAAAAATGTCTTTCAGTAGTTTTAATTTAAATTAAATCACTAAACATTTATTCCTGAATAACCTTTAATAGATGTATTTTCACCAATTTAACTGAAGCCTATTGACTATTCATTTCATCTGTCCAGTGTAAAAAATGTTATATTGGCACCTCATCTCCTGTAGTTATTTAAGTAATAAAAACCCAACATTTGTTCTTATACTGTTCCCATTTATAATACACTGGAGGAGCAATAAGCATCATGAAATAGAAATATCAACAAAATCTGTTAAATCCCTTGTTTATAACCCAGAAAGTAATTCTCAGTAGTATATGAGCACCTAATCAGATGGAATAATACTCACACTTGAGTCATATTAGCAGGTGGTCTAATCCGTGGTGCGACGATACGATAGCGTAAAACAGCCAATGCCGCCAGGCTGAAAATCTCCACCCCCACCGCAACCGAAGTCATGAACCCCAGCAGGACGCAGGTCCCACCACCCAGCTGCCAGTTCTGGACGCTAGCGCTGAGCAGCACACAGGGAAGGGTGAGCAGGGCGCCCAGGTCGGCCAGGCTGAGATTGAGAAGCAGGATGGAGCTGGGCTTGGTGCGACTGCGGGGGTTCCTGACCAACACCAACCACAGCAGCAGGTGACCCGTGACCCCGGCAACAAGAGATACCAGGCTCATCATCGGCAGCACCACGTTGAAGGAGATGGTGGTGTTGGTGGAGACCACGTTGAAGAAAAGGTTGACGATGGCGGGCATGGCTCCAGGAAGTCTGATGAAAGACAGGATAGTTAAGGGTAAAAGACTGGAGATTACCCAGATCCGGACTGCAGAAAAGGAGGTCAAGCTTCAAGGAAACATGTGAAAACATTTCCTTTTACCTTCATCGTTTATGCACCAACAACTGTGAACTCCCGGTAGATGACACAATAACTTTAGAAAGTGCTGATGATCATTAAAAACTCATTTAAATAATCAACCACCTCCAATCTATTATTCATATTTATAATAGCAGCCTCTCCACGGCTCCCGAATCACTCACAAATCAAAGCTCACCAGGCACTCGCTGAGCCTGATGATTCAGACGAGACGGAGTGCCTCTCGGGGGACCTGGGCAACAGACAGTCAGAGACATCAGTGAGTCGGCTGCATCACGACACAAACAAGACAACTCACCTCAAACAGAATGAGGGAGGAGGCTTTTGCTTCTCCCCAGGGGGAGACAAGTACGACAACACACACACACACACACACACACACACACACACACACACACACACACACACACACACACACACACACACACACACACACACACACACACACACACGCCTGTTGTGAAAAGGTGCAGCTTTAGATAAAGAGCTAACAGGTAACCTGAAAAACACACAGGAGCCTCGGTGAACTCACCTTCCAGCCTATTTTTAAATGAAATGCACGAATGCGTTTTGCTTAACTGTTCGGTTAATTCTTAATAACTGCGTCACTTTCATGTGAAAATGCCCAAATGTGGTGATGGTGGTGGTGGGATGCATCCTTACTCCCACTTTGTCAAAATCTGACCCACGGCGTTCACAATGGAGCGTGTGAATGACAGATGGACAAAGAAATGAATAAACGTTTGTTCATTCCTTCATCCATCTGTCCGTTAGATGCAGTATCTGACTCAAGCTTAACAACCCTGTTCAAGGTCCATTTCTGGAGGTGGGTGCTTTGCGCACAAAGCAAAAAAAAAGGTCAGTGAGGCAGCTCACTCTGCTTTGAAGAGCCAGAACAAGCTAAAACTGGTAATGCTGCACACAGGCTTTGAATAAAAGAGATCATGAGGTTAGAAATTCCATTTGAAGGGACATAAACATCCACTTTTCTTGCCTTGTTCATTTATATTTATGAAAAATGTAGAATTTTTGGGGGGTTTGCTGCTATTCGGGCTTTGTTTTAGTAGCAGTAACTGAAATAGTAAAGAAACAAACCTTTTTCTAGTCCAAATGAAGCACATTTTTGCTTTTTTTCAAAGTTTCTTGTCTTTAAAAGAACGTTAGAGCAAGTAAGCGGCGCAGAAAGACGGCAAAACACACAGGGCTGTGCATAACGTGTGTCCAGCAAATACCTCTCTCTTTTTTCAATTCTGACTCTAAAATGTAGAAATGTGTTCTTCCACAGTCAAGCAGCCGCAGCCGAAGAGCAGGAGACAGCAGATGACGAGGGACTGCTAAAACTGGCAGAAGCATGCAATTAACAAGGTTAAAATAATGAAGGTTGATTTTAAATATGCTGACCTCAAACTGAGCTGATTTAAACGTTTTATTCCCCACCAGTCTGTTTTAGTACACTTTAAGTTTAAACATCTAATTGAACTCGGAGGAAATAAAGTATATTTTACTTCTGTAATTTCATTTCTGCATCACCAAACCTTCCTGATGCTGTAGCGAGCTGCATTTCTGCAGTGGGCAGCCCTCCTTCCATATGTGAAGTCATTTGCTCCTCGGCAAGTTCCTCAGGATAAAAGACAGAAGATCTGGGTGCAAATGTTTTATTCACTCTTTGACTGTATTTAAGCCCTTCAGCCCTAAAGACAAAAACATCTAACTACCAGATTTTTTTTGTGAGGATGTTCACAGAAACACCCCGTCACCCGGCTGTGGGTGGAATCAGGAGCCAGGATTTTACAACTTTCTGACTAAAGGGTGGACTGGAAGTAGAATTTAAAAGGAAGTAAGGAGGTCTGGAATGTGAAGCAGACCCAAAGGGAAATAGAAAGAGAATGAGAAATGAGCATTCCCCACTTACTGTGAACGGTGACCAGCTCCAGGTAAAAGCCCTCCACTCACCATCAGCTGATGTGCTGCATAAAGAGGAGAAATAGAGGGCACACACTTGCATTACTCCCTGTGCTCACACCTCCTCTTGACTTCCCACATCATATTTTGGACACACACACACACACACACACACACACACACACACACACACACACACACACACACACACACACACACACTTTGGATTGTCAATGAGATTACAACATCCTGTTTTTGGTCTGGAGCCGGGTTTTGCATTCTGGAATGTCAATAACAGAGCTCATAGAGCTGAAACACACTGAAACTATAAAAATAAGTTTTACTCAATTTAAAAAAATCAGATTAAAGTATTTTCCTGCGCATCTTTGAGTGTTTGGATGGCTGTAATCCTCTATTTGGCAGAAGCATGAAAAACCACATGTTCACTTGCTTTTGAGGAAACATCTGAAGGTTCTACACTTAAAAAATCACCCAACAAAGACAAAGAGCAAATATGACCCATTTGCTCTGTTTATGTTGATTATAATTAGGATGAGGAAAATATCTGTTTAGTAGTTTGAATGTGTTGAATTAACATCTGGAAAATGGAACAAATTCATCCGACCTTCAAACAAACATCCCACACGAGTGCAACAGCAGATCACAGCTCTGCCGGTATGTTTGCTTTTAAAACTGGAACACTAATCGCTGTCGTATGGAAGAGCTGTGTAACCATAACAACGACATACATGTGGAGGTGCAAACATAACAGTCAAATTCAACACATGAACCACAGCAATGTCGACAAACCTTATATCTGGACCTCCAGTTAAAAAAACATAAAAAAAGAAATTATCACTTAAAATGTGTTCATTGGTAAAACAGATCTGCGATGGACTTGTGACCTGTTCAGGGTGCACCCACCTGTTTGCCCAGAGACTGCTGGGGATAGGCACCAACCCCCTTCGCGACCCTGCATGGATAAATGGGTAGAACATGGATGGATAGATGGGTAAGACAGATTTCGCAAACATTTAAAAATACACATTCCATTATCCATTTTATCCAGGACATAAAAAAAATGGATGACTCTAAACTTTTTGCTTTTAAATCAAGACAAGACGGAAGTTCTCATCTTTGGACCAGAAATCCAGAAAAGGAAATTGCTTAGCCAATCACCTGACCTGAATGGCATTACATTAATCTCCAAGAACAAAGTAAGGAACCTTGGTGTTATCTTTGACCAGGACATGTCATTAAAATCCCAGGTTAAACAGGTTTGTAGGATTTCCTTTTTCCACCTTCGGAATATTGCTAAGATTAGAAGCATCCTTTCCAGGAGTGATGCTGAAAAACTAGTTCATGCATTTATTACATCAAGACTGGATTACAGTAATTCATTACTCTCAGGAAGTCCACAGAATGTAGTTAAAAGTCTTCAGCTTGTCCAAAATGCTGCAGCTATAGAGTTCTGATGAGAATTAAAAAGAGAGATCATATCTCTCCTGTCTTGGCTTCCCTACAATGGCTACCTGTTAAATTCAGAATAGATTTTAAGATCCTTCTTCTCACATATAAAGCTCTTAATAATCAAGGTCCATCATACATCAGTAATCGGATTGTTCCATACGTTCCTAACCGAGCACTTCGCTCTCAGACTGCAGATTTGTGTGTGTGTGTGTGTGTGTGTGTGTGTGTGTGTCTGCTCTGTCTTCTCGATCCCGAGTGAGTCGTGGAGGATGGCTGCTTATACTAAGCCAGGATTCTCTGGAGGTTTCTTCCTGTTTAAGGGGAGTTTTCCTCTCCACTGTCGCTTTATGCTTGCTTAGTATGAGGATTGCTCAGTGACTTGATGCAATTTTCTGGGTTCCTTATATAGGAAACATTATTTCTGATTGGCTTAATGAACTGACCTGAATTGGAATGTTTATTATGTGAAGTGCCTTGAGACGACTCTTGTCGTGATTTGGCGCCATATAAATAAACTTGAACTGAATTGAATTGAATCCATCATCTTTACCCCCTTATCCATGCAGGGTCGCGGGGGGCTGGCGCCTATCTCCAGCAGTCAACGGGCAAACAGACGGGGTACACACTGGACAGATTGCCAGTCCATCACAGGACAACACAGAGACACACAGGACAAACAACCAATTTAGAGAGACCAATCAACCTGACAGTCATGTTTTTGGACTGTATGAGGAAGCCAGAGTACCCAGAGAACGTGCAAACTCTTTTCAGAGAAACCCCGATCCTGGATTCGAACCCAGGAAGGCAACAGTGCTATCCACTGCACCATTGTGCAGTCAACATTCCATTAATTTTTCATAAAACCATCTATTAAGAGTTGTACAATGCATTGTGATCAACCTATGACATCAGCATAGGTTGATCACATAAATCCACACCAAAACTGAAATGAGAGGATCGCCATACATCTATTTTCCTAAATAACAGCCATGGGGCTAAAATCAATTAGCAGGTCATAATAATCCCACAGCATCTTCCTTTGGAAGCAAAGGCTCATGGGATTTTTAAACAGTGCTCGTAGCAGCTCGCTCTGGATACTTGTTTTCTGTTGTGTTTTTATTGCTACAGTGAACCGTGTTTTGTTAGCATCTAAGCTAATGAACAAATGGCGGTGTTTGCTGCTAATTTTGAAACATTAATGTGGGTTTGTTTCTGTGCTGCAGCCGAGATTTATCTGGTTTTACCATCGACATATAAATATTGGACAATGGGTTTCCATAAGCTCCAATAACACATTTTTAAAGATAAATGGGAGGTGGCCACCACCGCCATTTTGACCGTGTCACGGTTCCATCAAGCCCAGACAATTCCACAAAAGGGAAGAGAGGTGGAGCTGAGGGTGGGGCTGTGAGGCTGGGATCAACTGACGACACCCGGTCGAACTAGCTACAAGCTAACCTGAAGCTAACCCAAAGCTAACGCGGAGGTGGGAGCTAAGCTAACGGAGGTAGCAACCTAGCTACAACTGGAGTTAACTGTGCACAACACCAGAGCTTCTGAGTCAGAGATACGCCGGGTGGAACACAGAGGTCTCCGAGACCTCCACAAGCCGGCAGCTGCACAGCAGACAAGCGCCACTTCAATCTGAGATGCGCAGAGCTGCCGCTGGGGAGAACCGGGTGGAAAGGTTTCCATCCCAGAGCTCCACAAGCCGACAGCCCGCGCAGCAGACAGAAGCCGCGATCAGACAGAGATGGGCCGAGCTGCGGGGAGGGGAGAACGGGTGGAAAATATCGGTCTCCCGAGAGCTCCACAAGCCGATAGTCGGAACCCAGCTCCACCAACATGTTATATTTCAACCCATTTTCTAAAGTGCAGCATTATGTTAAATGCACTGGGTTTTACCCTATTACATTTAAATTTCATGGTTAAACAGTACATGTTAAAATCTAAGGTCAGCTCGGCAGTGACCTAAAATACATAAATATAATTTTACTTACAGAAAAAAATGAAGTGGTGACTCCTTGGACACTCTATTAGTTCAATTAATGCCACATCAAGTCATTTTGTCCAACAGTTGCACAAATAATATCTAAAACAGAATACACAAACACAGAGAGTCAAAATGCCGGAGCAGTTTCCAAGCCAGACCGAAGCTCTACTGAGGCCTTTCCACGGAGCTAGCTCTGCAGTCACGTGGGTCAGATGCTCATTAATTATACAGAATTTTAGGCTTTTAATACACTTAAACAGAAGAGTGAGAAAAAAATTCACCCCCCTCAGAGTTGTCATGAATGTAAACTAGATCATTTAAACAAAAAACATGTTTTGGTACCAGGCTGTAAACATGTTTATTTCTGCTGTGAAATTGGTATTTTTAACATGGGAGTCAATGAAGATTTGCTCGCTTCTGACACCAGCCCCTAGTGGATGAGGGGGGAACTGCAATTTATTTCACTTCCATGTTTGATTCAAATTTTCACCCGCATTGTGGGGGCTTGGGTTTTACAAACAGAAATCAGACAAGACCAGCTCACAAGGCCGGATTAACCATGTGGGCAACAGGGCAATTGCCCAGGGCCCACGAAATCTAAAGTGCCCAGGGCAGCAAGAGCACAAGCAAAATACTGTATCTGTAATTTCCTGCATTATGAGGACTATGGTGACCGTATGTCCTGTTTTCCCTGGACATGTCCACTTTTCGCTCTCTGTCACTATATATTTCAAGCAAAATGATGATTTAAATAATTATAAGGAGTCAACTCGTTTAAACTAACAAGCCCCACATGTTTTGTGAATAGCTCTGGATCTCAACTCAAGAACTTATAAAAATGCAGTTATTGAGCTCTAAAAAATAATTCCTAGTTTTTCATGAAACAAGCAGGTGAATTTGAACACTATGTGTTTTTAGAAGCCTCTACTTATACACACCTGCTCTACTGAGAGAGTGTGGCTGGCACCTGTATAATTTATTTATTTTTATGTTTATTTATTTGGCAGATGCTTTTATCCAAAGCGACTTACAATTTATAACCTATAGGGCTATAATCTAGGGCTGTGATCTGTGGGGGAAACCGGAGTACCCGGAGGACACCCACGCATGCATGGGGAGAACATGCAACTCCACGCAGAAAGGACGCAGCCGAGTTTCGAACCTGCAACCTTCGTGCTGCGAGACAACGGTGCTAACAACTGCACCACCATGCATAATTTACACACCATGATTGAAGCATTACTCACACCGGTGTAGGTAATTTAGTATCTACAGGAGTTTATGCAAGCTGGTTGTTGGACTACGTTTATTGAGAATTCAAGAAAACAAGAGCCAAAAAACATTTTACTGTGGTATAGACCCCTAATAGTGTTTACTCACTCCCCGCCTCGGTCACTGAGCTCAGCCGACCAGTTTCTCCTGGAGGTGCCGAGAACAAAGAGAAAGCTCAGGGGTGATAGAGCTTTCTCAGTAGCAGCTCCAAGGTTGTGGAATGCACTCCCAATTCAGATTAGGATGGTTTCATCACTGTCGGGTTTTAAATCGCTTTTAAAGACTCATTTGTTCTCAGTTGCTTTTAATTCAGTTTGAGAATGCATCTGTTTTTAGTAGCTTTTATGTCAGTTTGATATGTTTGTTTTTATCATGTTTTGACTTTGTGATGAACTTTTTATCTTGTTTTTAGAATTTTTAGGGAACTTCTGTTCTTTTTGGCTTGTTAAGCACTTTGGTCAGCTTTTATGCTGTTGTAAAGTGCTATATAAATAAAGTTGACTTGACTTTACTATGGAATAAAAGCATTGTTTGATTCTGCAGAGGGTCGACTGAAACTGCTGCCTCTGCAGGCATGAGTGCATGCAAGGTAGGTCACGGGGATTCCTGCAGTGCAGACAACACACACACACACACACACACACACACACACACACACACACACACACACACACACACACACACACACACACACACACACACACACTTACTCTTGTATCTATCCTTGTGTGGACCTGCCACTGACTTCCATTCATTTTTGGGACTCCACTATTCCTAACCCATACTCTAACCATAACCATAACCAATGCTGTTCTATTCTAATCTAATCTAAACCAAAAGTTCATTCACCCCATAATCACACAACACTACACTTTTTGCCATATTGGGCTTCTTTCTCTGGAGGCCATAATCATCTGGACTAAAATCCCTCCATCATAAAGCTGTGATTTGGGGTCTTCACCTCTTCTATGGTCACCCCAGCTAGTCTCTTTACCTCCAACTGCTATCTACAAACTATCCACTGCATCATCAGCCCTTTCAGTTCTGACCCTAACATCCAGCTGAAGCAGAGAGCCTGCAAACTCCTACGCTCCTCTAATTGCCACCAGTGGGTATAATGATGTAGCTGGTTTCAGAGAAACAAACAGGTAGGAGAGTGATAAAGCATCGGGGTAGGATCACGGTGGAAGGATGCATCAAAGCAGCCTCCTCGGATCATAAAGAAGGAAGCAGTGTGTACCGAAGCGTTTTATGAACCTAGGAGGAAAAATACAGCGGCAGAAGGTGGTGGGAAATGCCTGGGTCGTATGGATCAGAGGATGGAGTCAGAGGAATCTGTTGAGTGAATGAAGCTTGGCTGTTTGATGCTTTGTTTTCTCTGGAAGAGTTTCGGGGAAACGGGAGCGGTAAGGTTTATGCGCTCACTGGTTCATGTTATCTTGATTCATGGAACAGTGAGGTTTACGTTTGTTTAGAGCTACGTTTCTGATGCACGTTTTGAAGTTGGAGACAGATATTCTCATAACTTTGGGCTGTCTAAGTAACTGTCTCCTGCTATACTATAAATCTGTTTAACTTTTATGATACATACTGATTTTATGAAAGTTTTAAGTCTTTGTTCTGAGAAAAACATACAATCGTAGTATGGGGCGACGGTGGCACAGGAGTTAAGTGCTCGCCCTGTAATCGGAAGGTTGCAGGTTTGAGCTCCACTCAGTCTGTCGCTGTCGTTGTGTCCTTGGGCAAGACACTTAACCCACGTTGCCTGCTGGTGGTGGTCAGAGGGACCGGTGGCGCCAGTGCTCGGCAGCCTCGCCTCCGTCAGTGCGCCCCAGGGCAGCTGTGGCTACATCGTAGCTCATCCCCACCAGTGTGTGAATGTGTGTGTGAATGGGTGAATGACCGATTGTATTGTAATGCACCTTGGGGGGTTACAGGACTCTAGAAGGTGCTACATCAAATACAGACCATTTACCAATTACCATTTAGTAGACTGAGCTGCGGATGCACATTTAAGAGATCCCACATTAAAGAGCATGACAGAAACAGCTTATACATGAATAACTATAATAAATTCTAGGTGAGCCCCAAATAATTTCATAAATCTCACAGAATAAAAAAAAAGTCTCAAACTTATTTACAGTAATCTAAATCGGCCTTAATTAAGGCCATCATTTCAAAGTCATTCTGAAGATTTTATTATTTGAGATTTTTTTTGTGTAAAAACCAGCTCATGTGTTCTGTTTTATTTAGGAAGTTGAAGATAAAAATAATAAAATCTAAACTTTGTGTTGATAAATTGTATAGTACAATACTGTTTTTAGCATAGCATAGAAGCTCTGAACACCTGAGGCTTTAAAAGCTAAAATTATATTTAAAATAGTTCTATTCTACTGTAGGCCAATATGCATTTAAATAAAGTTTGTTAATCTAAATGAACTCTTAGAAATTTTTTACCTTTTATAAAAACATAATTATTGTTCTTTTGAAACATTAGTAGTAATATTATCTGTCAGTAATTCTTATAATAAAACAGAACATAATCAAAGAGAAAATTAATTACAGAAAAATGTTATAATGAAAATTGAAGACTGGTAATTGAATGCAACCTAAAATAATAACACTCAATAAAACATAGTTTCTATGTTTAGTTGAGCTCTTTCAGCAGTAAAAAAAAAAGCTTTGTTAACAGGCTGATGAACTTGCACCACAGAAGACTTTAAGACTGAGTAATTTTCTTGTTTCTTTTGAATCATGCTTAGATTAAGCTTTTCTGCAGGGTTTCAGTTCATTAGTTCGACATTTACTGAAGAAAAAAGTAAATACCATGAGTCATAAATCAGTATTTGGACTAATATCATCAAAACTCCTGGTCATAAAATGCACAACGGACTGCACATCTTCCAAAATCCTTGTGTTACAGTTTGCAGGTTTTGTTGTCTGTCTGAAAGCATACACTGCTTATAATTTAAGAAATAATTAAAATATGTGGGCTATCTAACATTTTAAAAGGGAATTTGGTTATTTTTCTAAAGAAATTAATAATTTCCATACAAAAAAATTAAGACTTTTAAATTTGACAAACTTTTAAAAATAGGGTTGCAGCAAAAATGACAATTTACTGGGCTTCAAACATTTTAGAGGTTCTTCACTCCTAATTTTAAACATTTGCAGTGGTCTCTAGAAGGGATGAATACCTTGTAAGTTGTAGCCTGTTTCAGCATGAAGAATTCAGCCAGAGAAAGTAGCTTCAGACGGCAGGATTCTTATTTCCTGACGTTTGGACATCTCGCCACGGATTGGCTAACAGCAACGCAACTCTACGCTGGTACCACTGACACAGTTTGCTCTGCAATGTTGATATTTTAACTCCACAACTAACACTAGTCTGGAGTTGTTCTGCTGTGGGGTGAAGTTGCTAATGCTAACGGTTAGCTTCTACTAGCTGAGACCATTTTCTGCTGTTTCCTGGATGCTAAACCAATAACAGCCTTCTACGTTGTGAGTCAAGATGGGCAAGTCCATGAATATTAAGTAACAGTGTGACACAGATCTGTCAGGCTTTTCTAAGCTAATGCAGGAGGTAGGTATAGGATACTATTTTCGTGTTCAGCCTGCATGTTAAACTCAAAGTGATCATTTTCAAACAAAATAAGTAAAATATGGTTTCTCAGTGAAGGACCTTTGATATTTTTAAGGATTCACAAATGAATTCTACTAAATGAAACATTTAAATCCCTCCCTTTGTAAAGGTAATGCAGCTGATTTAGTTTGGATCTCAGGATGAGGTTTTAGAAAGGCTGCCCATCTGAGCCATCGCTAGGCTGTTTCTAAGAGGATTATTTGCACAATGTGCTGTTTATTATGGCTGCACCCTACTCCAAAGGCAACATTTTGGCTCAGATGCCAAGCTAAAGTATTTTGTCAGGTATTATATTTCACAGAAGGGACCTAAAAGCCTTTCTTGACACAGCAGTGTATGTTACCTGGTTTTGTGCTGCTCAGTCGGTGCACACATGCTTGTATAAACTCATGACTGGCCTACCAGTGTGGATGCAGATTCAAATGGCTTGCTTCTGCAGCTGCCGGAGCTAAACACATGCAGATACGAGTAAAAACCTCAGACCTTCTGAAGCATGACAAGATTAATGAATTAGAATACCTTCACTGCTCTGATAATGGATCCTTCTGGCGGGCATGCATGACTTTCCCCACACAGGGAGGAAACACTTACCTGAGCATATGGGGTGTGTGTAACATAATGGTGTGTGTGTGTGTGTGGGGGGGGGGGGGGGGGGGGGGGGGAGACAAAGAAGGAATTAACAGAGCTTATCTAAAGACACGGAGAGCATGAAGGCTACACCCCAGGCTGTGATCTGTCCTGGCAGTGAGGCAGATCAGATGACTGCATGGAGGGAATTAAAAGCTGCTCATGGTCATGAGACAAACCGAATCACCGTCATGTGGAAAAAGAATGATGGACCATCTACAGCTGAGCTCACTGATGCAGAAAGGAAGTGCAGATGACACTAATCTGCAATTCACCTACCACAAATAATAAAAAAAAAAGTTATGCAGTGTGTTTGATTTAATTGTCAATTAAATCTCTACTAGGAAGCAAAACTCCCTCTTATAGCTGCTTGATCGTGCACCTTCTGTCCTCATAAACATTAGCTGCTGCTTGGATCCATAACATTCTGAATGATGGTGCATGATGACTTAGCAGCAACATGCAAACTGACTTAGTGAGTTTTAGGACAGGACAGAGAAGTCTCTGCTGCCATCTGCTGCAGGCAGAGTAGCATTACCAACTTACTAAAATGGGGCATCTGAAGTAAGAACCAAACATGGGCTCATCCCATTTGTCAGATATTTGGTTGATTTGGTGAAGAACTAGCACTTTCAAGTACTTGTATATTTGTAGTTTTTCCTTTTTGAATATTTCAGATGAGCAAATGGATTTCTCATTATATATACACATACATACATACATACATACATACATACATACATACATACATACATACATACATACATACATACAGAGAGAGAGAGAGAGAGAGAGAGAGAGAGAGAGAGAGAGAGAGAGAGAGAGAGAGAGAGAGAGAGAGAGAGAGAGAGAGAGAGAGAGAGAGAGAGAGAGAGAGAGAGAGAGAGAGAGAGAGAACCTGCCTGAGAACATGGTCAGGCCAGGTTAAACACTACAGACTGCCCTTTGTTATTGTCAAAGATCATTATTTCCCAAAAAATTGATCAAACCAACATGTAAACATGGTGGGGGTAGTGTGATGATCTGGGTTTGCTTATCCATTTAGTTTTAGTTGTTTCCCTGCTCCAACACTCATGATTTGATGGTTGATTCACCTGGTCAGCAGCTCATAAAACTCGAAGTTCTGCAGAAGTCTGTAAATCATCTACTGATCAGGAGGGTTGGAGCAGAGAAACATCTAAAACATGCCGGATAGTGGACCTCCGGGGCTAGGACTGGTTATCCCTAATCTAAATGAGAATCTCTAATCTTGAGCTCCTCATCTTAAGTTAAAACTCAAATGCAGCAGACCAGTTATACTGAGAAGTACATCAAGTCCAACAATATGTGGCCAAAAAAAAAAAAACAGCTGTCACAAACCTTAAAAAAGGTCATTCCTACTGGAAAGCCCTCTGATGTGGCTGAAAGGAAAGTTTACATACAAGCACACTGCCCTGCCAAAAATAAGTCACCAGCTGGATTTAACTAAGCAAACAGGTATGAGTCTCCTATTGGATAATCACTGCATGGGTGATTATCTTTCAGCTGGCACCAAGTTATTTAACCCCAACTGGTGCAATGAGTTGTCTGTCATTTCTTAAACAACCATGTGAAAAGACATCTGGTGGTCGTGAAAAAGATCGTCTGTGTGAGAAGGGCCAGATCACTGGCATGCATCAAGCAGAGAAAACATCTAAGGAGATGCAGAGATGACTAAAACTGGGTTGAACTGTTCAACGCTTTATTAAAACTGGTCTGATGAGTCCAGATGGACCTTGTTGACCCTGAGTGAAGGACACATTGGCGTAAGAGGCAGATGAAGTGATGCACCCATCATGCCTAGTGCCTACTGTACAAGCCTGTGGGGGCAGTGCTATGATCTGGGGTTGCTGCAGTTGGTCAGGTCTAGGTTCAGCGATAGGATGCGCTCCAAGAATGAGGTCAGCTGACTACCTGAATATACTTAATGACCAGGTAATTCCATCTTCCCTGATGGCACTGGCATTTTCCAAGATGAAAATGCCAGGATTCATGGGGCTCAAATAGAGAAAGAGTGGTTCAGGGAGCATGAGACATCATTTTCACGCATGGATTGGCCAGCAAGTCCAGACCCTAACTCCATTAAGAATCTTTAGGATGTTTTGGAGAAGGCTTTGTGCAGCGGTCAGACTCTACCATCATCAATGCTAGATCTTAGTGCCAAATCAATGCAACACTGGATGGAAATAAATCTGGTGACGCTGCAGAAGCTCACTGCAACAATGAATCGCAATGAATTTGCTTACTGCGAATGCGTGCCGTGATCAAAGCTAAAGGCAGCATAACGAAATATTAGAGTGTAATACCTGTTTTACTGGTGGCCACTTTCATTTTGGTCGGGCAGTGTATTTGATAGCTGTTGTTGCTGCCAAGGTTCCCCTTTAGGGGTCAGTTACCAATAGGACATTCACTCAAACTAAAGCAAGCGTCAACTGTCCTGACTGGTTCAAATGAAGTTAAATGCTTTGATATTAAAACTTGGTATTGAAGCACCCTGTGTCTGGATGGAACTAAAATGAAATGTGTGTGCTTGGATTTGTGAATGTAAGCTCAGAAGGTTTCTATCAGAGAGAGAAACGCATTGTGGGTGAAAGAGTTGTTTTGCAGCTGAGCTAAATTATTTCTTAAAGAAACAGGCAGACGGACGCAATCTGCCGGACGTGTCTACATCACCCAGTTAGGAGACCCCCTTTTGGATCTGAGATGCCAGGTGGGATGATGAACCCCCAAGCACGAGGTGGGTAGAAGAATCATAGTGCGACCCAAATTGGTCCTGAGATGTCTCCGGGTCACAACGACTGATGAAACTGGTTGCATCTCAAAAATCAATAACTCTGAAGGAGTTTTGCGTCAGCTGGTTGCAGATGGCATTTTGTCTGAGCAATTCTATTGGCGTGACAGAACAGCTTAGTAGAGGTCGAGCGGCCGACCCGAACCTCTGGGAATCTCGTACCACGGAGAGATTTTGGTGAGTTCAAGAACTAAACTTGAACTGAGGAGTTTGGTTTTACATACCTCAGAACACGCCCTCTCAGAGATAGAAAGCTTTGGTTGTTATGGAACAAAGACTTGTGAGAGTAGTTACCTTTAACTGGATTTCAGTGTCCTGCATGGTGTGTATAAGTGCACATGACCTTCTGTCACTGATCAACATTACTGATAATTGTTGGGTTATTAGGTAAAGAATAATTAGTAAGTTTTTACTTACTGTTGGATTCTTCAATACATTCTGTAAAAATGGGAATATTTACCGAGTTATTAATTAATTAAGATACAATTAAGTATCTACGGGGCACCATCCCCTTTAACCGGGGAAAAATTGAATCCAAACTCTTATCAGTCTATTTGAAATGTGGAAAAGTTCTAGGAGCAGAGATTTCACACCAACACAAGCAAGTCTCTGGAGACAAAGTCTGAATTTTATAACAATTAATTAGACAAGGAGATTAATAATGCAAAACAATGGTATAATTGAAAATGTGTGTGTAAAATGTAGGATGTCCCCAAGTGATGGATTTGTATCAGTGGTGAGTCCCCACAAATACTAAAAACACGTATGCGTGTGTGTGTGTGTGTGTGTGTGTGTGTGTGTGTGTCTGTGTGTGTGTGTGTGTGTGTGTCTGTGTGTGTGTCTGTGTGTGTGTCTGTGTGTGTGTATGAATGAATGGGTCTTTGTTTCAGAGCAGGTGTGTGGGGAGTGTGTCCTTGGAGTTGTGTGAGCTGTAAGATGACTTTCCTCTCTCAGATGCAGACAAAAGAATTAGCTTGCTCTTAGTGACTTAAAATTACAGTTAAACTGAACTTAAACACTTCAAAAGTTGACAAAACAACAAAGAAAGATTGATAAACAATCAAGAGATCACTCGTACATTAACATCTGACAGTTTAAACAGCCTCGCCACAGCTGAAAACTATTTAAAGATATTTACGAGGACAAATAAACAGTTTACTCTTTACCAAATAACCCGACGAGCGGATTTTGATACGGAAAAGAGGAAAACACGTCTGATAATTTGAAGCAAGTCACGCGGTCGACTGCTTATCTTGGTCTAGAAGAGACGAGAAAAGGTAAAAGTTTAAATGAAATAAAAACTTGCAGGAGAAAACAGCTGTTCCGGAGCGAAGGCGTCCCCTCGTCATCCGCGCTGATTTGATGTGATTCTCCATCGTCCACTCACGAGTGTCTCTCCAACTGGGCTGGAAGAGAGAGAGAGAATTTTCTTTTTGTGCTGAGTTCATAACTTACAGCGTCTCCATGAGCTTGATGGAGCACCGCTCGTTTCGAGCCAGGTTCTGATGGAATTGCTCTTTATCAGTCAGCGAACGTTTCCTTCACATCAGCTGGAGTTGAGCAGAAGCGAGCAGATCGGCTGGGTTTCCAAATCCTGCTTTCAGCGGTTCGATGTCTGATCCGCTTAAATTGATCGGAGCGTGCAACAATTGTGTCCTTCACAGCCAGCTAAACTAGACAAAGAACCCTAAGTTTCGTTTTTAGCTGAAACTTATAGTTTTGGCTGGTTGTTGTTGTTGTTCGCGCTCTGCCTTGGCGGTGACGTCATCACAATGCTTCCGTGTGCCAAGCATCATGGGAAATGAAGTATCTCTGGCGCTGATGATGGAATATGCTCTTTCAGAGCAATTTTTAGCAGTCTTTGGAGAAAATCACTGCACAGTAATTTCCTTATGAGGGCAGACCCTCAACATAATCATAAATAATAATCATTAGTAACCAAAGAATAATAATTCATTTCAGTAATTAATACATTTATAATGAACCATGATGATTATCTATGAACCTTGTAATAAGACAGTGAAAAGAGTTTATTAAAAATTATTCTTTTAAATCTTGAAGAGTCCTTCGTCTTGCAGACGGAACAGCAGTCAGATAAAAGCTGGTTTACAGCAGACTTTGTGTCTCTTGTGATGGATAATGTGTAGATAGAAGTGCAGCCAGGACAGCGTGACCTAGCTGAGGAAGTGTGAACTTTGGGTCACAAATGAGGCCATTCATGTCGCTACATTGATCTCACTTTATGATGCTGACCCTAAATAGATCTAGCACCAGATTCAAACTGTTTAAATCTGCTGCTTCATTAGAACAAATGGTAAATAAAGGTGACATGGACAGCCCATTTCTTCCTGTTAAGTACTTTTATTTTTTCTGATTCATAGAAGCATCTTTAGAAAATATACTCATTTTCATCAGATTAAAACAACCCACTGGCCAATGTAAATACTATTGAAGGATGGAGGAACTAAGGTCTCTCAGTCAATGTCAGCATACACCAATAAGCATACTCACAAGCACAGATATCAAATAATATACTATCACAAATTAACTAGTAGCGTTCACCACAATGGTTATTGCAGTTTCATATTCATTATCTACAACTCAGAATAAATACAGTACAAACTCACTTTTAGTGGTCAGATTGTCAGTAAAAGAGGGGGTGGGGGTGACCGATTTTTAACTGATTATCACAAATGTGTAAAAGTAACAGATCATATGCATACTAGAAACACAAAATTACTGTGTGTGTTTTAAGAAACTTCCCTTTAAGAGAAATCTTATCCAGAATAAGTGCAAGCAGCTAGAAAAGAAAGTAATGGTACACAGTACATGCGTTTTCAGCAAGAAATGGATTAAAAAGGAAAATAAACTCCAGTTGGATCATTTTCATTTGAGTCCACACAGTTTTAAAAGCTTGTCTCAGTCCAGTTCTCCATGTGCCAGTCTCTCCGTCTCCTCTCTGTCCTCAGGTGATGTCATAATGCATCTCTGTCACCACCTTCGTAACCTGCAGGAGAAATAGTAACGTGAGCATTATGCCTCAAGAAATAATAAAATGATGGTGTTAACAACTCTGTGCAATTCAAAATGTGGTAAGTAGGCAAATAAATAACAGAATATAACAAAAAAATGTCCATTTAAAGAGGAAAATTTTATTTATTAACATCTAAACTGAAAAAAATACTTTACTTTTACTTACTTTAAACAACACCAAAGACTTTTTATGCTTTCAAACTGGTTTCAGTGGTTATTGAGCCATACACTTGAGCAACTTCAGATTTGAAAGCACTCTGTCTCCCTCTGCTGACCACAAACTGCACCTATCAGTTTTATGGTTCAGGTCGGGACACTAGCTAAAAAAAAGGCTAGCAGTCATTTTTTTAGTTCAAATTTAGCTTTTTGTTGGCATCATGGCAGAGCCTGGAAGTTAAAGTTAGACAGTGATGTCTTTGATGAAGAAAAAAGCTAAAACAGAGGGAACATTAGTGCAGCCTACATGCATTTGAGGGAGCTGAAGGAGGCTACAGAATCATGGACTGATGGTGACCTGGCCTTGTTGCTACTGGACTTGTAAGTTATATTTTTTGTCCAACAGTGTGGATCTTTAGTAGCTATCAGCTGGCTCGTGTTAGCGTTAGCTCGTCTCGTCTCGTCTCGTCTTCCTCCGCTTATCCGGGTCCGGGTCGCGGGGGCAGCATCCCAACTAGGGAGCTCCAGGCCGTCCTCTCCCCGGCCTTGTCCACCAGCTCCTCCGGCAGGACCCCAAGGCGTTCCCGGACCAGATTGGAGATGTAACCTCTCCAACGTGTCCTGGGTCGACCCGGGGGCCTTCTGCCGGCAGGACATGCCCGAAACACCTCCCCGGGGAGGCGTCCAGGAGGCATCCTGACCAGATGCCCAAACCACCTCAACTGGCTCCTTTCGATCCGGAGGAGCAGCGGTTCTACTCCGAGTCCCTCCCGAATGTCCGAGCTCCTCACCCTATCTCTAAGGCTGAGCCCGGCCACCCTACGGAGGAAACTCATTTAGGCCGCTTGTATCCGCGATCTCGTTCTTTCGGTCATTACCCAAAGCTCATGACCATAGGTGAGGATTGGGACGTAGATCGACCGGTAAATCGAGAGCCTGGCTTTCTGGCTCAGCTCCCTCTTCCCCACGACAGATCGGCTCAGCGTCCGCATCACTGCAGACGCCGAACCAATCCGCCTGTCGATCTCCCGATCCCTCCTACCCTCACTCGTGAACAAGACCCCGAGATACTTAAACTCCTCCACTTGAGGTAGGACCTCTCCCCCGACCCGGAGGTGGCAAGCCACCCTTTTCCGGTCAAGAACCATGGTCTCAGATTTGGAGGTGCTGATCCTCATCCCAGCCGCTTCACACTCGGCCGCAAACCTACCCAGCAAGAGCTGAAGGTCAGAGCTGGATGAAGCTAGGAGGACCACATCATCCGCAAAAAGCAGAGACGAGATTCTCCTGCCACCAAACTCGACACACTCCACACCACGGCTGCGTCTAGAAATTCTGTCCATAAAAGTGATGAACAGAACCGGTGACAAAGGGCAGCCCTGGCGGAGTCCAACCCTCACTGGGAACAGGTCCGACTTACTACCGGCTATGCGGACCAAACTCACGCTCCTCTGGTAAAGGGACTGAATGGCCCTTAACAGAAAGCCACCCACCCCATACTCCTGGAGCGTCCCCCACAGGGTGCCCCTGGGGACACGGTCATAAGCCTTCTCCAAATCCACAAAACACATGTGGATTGGTTGGGCAAACTCCCATGCCCCCTCCATCACCCTTGCAAGGGTATAGAGCTGGTCCACAGTTCCACGGCCAGGACGAAAACCACATTGCTCCTCCTCTATCTGAGATTCAACTATCGATCGGACCCTCCTCTCCAGTACCTTGGAGTAGACCTTTCCAGGGAGGCTGAGGAGTGTGATCCCCCTATAGTTGGAACACACCCTCAGGTCACCCTTCTTAAAGATGGGGACCACCACCCCGGTCTGCCACTCCCTAGGAACTGCCCCCGATGACCACGCAATGTTGTAGAGACGTGTCAACCATGACAGCCCTACAACATCCATAGCCTTGAGATACCCAGGACGAACCTCATCCGCCCCCGGGGCTCCGCCGCTGTGTAGTTGTTTGACTACCTCAGCAACTTCTGCCCCCGAGATTGGACAGTCCATCCCCAGGCCTCCCAGCTCTGGTTCCTCCTCGGAATGCGCATTGGTGGGATTGAGGAGCTCCTCAAAGTATTCCTTCCACCGTCCGACTATAGCCTCAGTTGACGTCAGCAGCTCCCCATCCCCACTGTAAACAGTGTGAGCGAGTTGCTGCCTTCCTCTCCTGAGGCGCCGGACAGTTTGCCAGAACCTCTTTGGAGCCGATCGATAGTCTTTCTCCATGGCCTCACCAAACTCCTCCCACGCCCGAGATTTTGCCTCGGCAACTGCCACTGCTGCACCCCGCTTGGCTATCCGTTAGCTCGTTGTTAGTGCTAACTACAGCGGGCTGTGGCCGGACTGTGTAGGTCCAATTCCAGTAAGAGGGAGAAGTGAAACAAACTATTAAGTGTTGCTTTTTTGATTTTCAAAATTTTATCAAAACTCCTTCACTCCTCAACATAAGCAGATTTTAGTTTAAAATGGTGGCGCTAAAGCTGATGGAAGGCATGTTTTTTTTTTCTATGATGACATTTGTTTTGTCCATCTGAGCTGTGAGTAACTGATGCTCTTTTCTCTCTTATCCTGAATGAAGCTGAGAGAATTTCCATTTACAGATGTCATTTGGCTTCTCATCCCATGGGACTCTGTCATAAGCCACTCATGTCCCCGCCATCAAACCACCTCTGTTTTTGTTACTTGATCTGTTTCTCTGATCTGCAAAGAATTTTCTTCCAGGAATTGTGTCAAAAGATTGATTTAAATTTGATCAGACCTAAGGATTGTGTTCCAGAGGTGGTCGGACTGTCTTGGCAGTCTTCCTGAATTTTCTAAAATTTTATCTTTTAATGGGAGGCACTGATATCCCTTCTTTAAACAATTCAAGCTATTGGGTTTTGCTGAATGCACAACCGCTTCTTTATTCGTCTCCTCCTAAAAGCACAAAGATGAATCTGCTTGGTGATTTTCTAACCTACATATTTATTTTTGAAGTGTGCAGGCCAGGCATGCTTCAGATTTCACTAGCTGAGGTCAGTCGTGTGTTCAGTACAGTCGTCCTAAATAAACATCAATGTGTCTTATAACAAGTAAATAACATTTTTTTTCCTGTGTGAATCTATACCTAACGTGAATTAGGGAAATTCACATGTAAACATGTTAAATAAACATGGAGACATTTACTTAATCCAAAATGACTCAGACCAATCTCTGCAACAAAATAAATTCGAGTCTGGGACATCAGAGGCTGGAGTCAAGTTTTAAATTTAATCTGGCTGTCTAGCAGCTTATTCTAGGAGATTATTCTGATTAAAAAACTGCACCTCATGTTACTACTGATATAAATTTAAAGACTAGATGATGCTAATTTCCTCTTAAATTAACCAAACAGGTCAAAAATGCCCCCAGGCCTCATATTCTCCACCTAATTAATTTTTCTACCAATGTTTGTTGAATTTCCCTGCAGTAGTTTGAGAATTCACTACAGATAATGATCATGACTTGATGTTGCCGAGTCATTAGCTTTCCACTGCTCCAGGCTCATCTCCGTCACTTTCAAACTGCTTATGGTAGAATGTTAGCTAAACTTGGTTAATAAATACCACAGTAATGACACGGGGAAAAAAATCTGGTTTAATTTAAGATACGTAAAGTCATGAAATAAAAGGTTTTAAATTGAAAAGTAATGAAGTTCTCAATAAACAGCACCGTCATTCTAGCCTAGTGAACTAGACCAAATTCTTGCTTTGCAAAGTTTGGTCTAGGAACGCTCCACTGGAACCTCTGCAGCCCCAAGCAGCATTCTGGCTGGCCAATCACAGCTCTCTGGAGGGGTTTCAAACACAGAGAGAGCTGTGATTGGTCCATAATGGTGGGCCAATCATAGCGCTCTATCTGCTTTGTGAACCAATCATTGCAGCTTTTCTGCTTTGTAGGCCAATCAGGGCCATCTATTCATCTGGTGGGCGGGATGATGCAACAGAGTGGAACAAGATGGCGACAGCTCGTTAGAAATGGCTTTTACATCAATTTTGGACTATTTGGACTTGGGCTTTATTAGAATCAGGAGCAGATAGATGTATTTAAGTTCTTTTTTTTTTTTTTTTTTTAGAAAAAAGGATGCATTTTTGCCTTCTTCAACAGCAGATCGCCTCGTTTACAGACATCTGTTGCGGTGAGTATGTCACGTACATTGTCCAGTAGCATGTGGCGATTGTTTGAAAGGCAACGGTAGTACCCGCCCCACGACAGAGAGCCCTCAATGAAGCATTGCCAGACTAAATAATATATTTATTTAGTCTGACTTGCCAGGTTACTGTCACTCAGCAGAGGGAGTGCCAGCTGCTGGAGGTGAGGCGATAGCCTCGATAAAACAGACAAACTAGGTCTGTAAATTATGTTTTGGGATTCCTTTTCTTTGATTAACTATCAAAAGGTAGCACATGCATGTGATCAATATGTATGGTATGACTCATCTATGAAAAGTCAAATGTAGCAAATGTCAGATTTAAGCTGAGTTGAACCAATGTCTGTGTCTATACACATGCTGGGGTGTTTTAGTTGCCATACCAGACATATCAGGAGGAAGTGAAACAGATACGTACACCCGGTCCCAGCTGGGTAGTCCAGAGATCTGTTTCTGTACTGGGGAAAGCAGGATTTATTCACAGGGAACCTGCGATCTGAGGACCTGTCCAGATCGTAGGGGGTGTCCTGGTCCATGCCTGAGGGGAAATGGCATGACGCGCGCGCACACACACACACACACACACACACACACACACACACACACACACACACACACACACACACACACACACACACACACACACACACACACACACACACACACACACACACACACACACACACACACACACACACACACACACACACACACACACACACACACAGTGGGGTGTGGGAATTCAAGGGAGATGAAGCGGTAACATGATGCTACAGGTGTGGGAGCACATCAACAAAACAAACTCGTGCTGATTTCATTTGATAAAAAATATCAAATGTTTGCTTAGGAGGAAACGTTTAATTCTGTGTGCATGATGAGTGCCCTAAAACCTACAAAGAGCAGCAGAAACAAACAGTACCTATGTCGAATGAGTTGGACTTCCTGGTGTGGTGAGACGCTGGGCATCCATTACGTCCTCTGTCCTCACCTGGTGGAACGATCACATTCGTTTTTCCCCTTCTGCTCTTTTGTCTTGTGGAATTTTATTGATTTTTCATCGTTAACACAATCTTTGTTTTAGCTTAATAGGTTGAAAAGACATCAATAGAATGTGAAATTACCATTAAAGGTACCAAGGTACAGTTTTCAGCGACCTTCATATGACATTAAAGTCGTACCATGCCTGATGATGACCGGATCGGCTGGCTCTGTAGCAGGCGCTGCCGGGCTTCTCGCCTCATTGGGCAGCTTGTCCTGAGCGATGGGAGGCGAACTCCTCTGGTTGCTGGTTTGTTCGTCTTCTGAACTGGCCGAAGTGGTGGGCGAAGTCTTGGTTTTGTCTGGAGAGCGGTCTCTCTGGAGGTCTATGCTGGGCTGATGAAGGAGAACGGTACGTGGATAGGTTACATTTTTCAGCCTGCAGCTTTAAAAAGTGGCAGCCAAATGTGTTTTCTGTGTTGAATCACACACACACACACACACACACACACACACACACACACACCTTTTTGGGAATAAGAGGATGCTGCCCCTTTGGTCCGCGCCCTCTTTGCTTTTCCTCTTGCATTTTTTCACTCTGGTCCTCTCCCTCCAGCCTTCCTGTCTCTTCTGGTAAAAACAACACGGTGAACACATCGAGTCGACGATAAATCAAGACTTTGTTCTGAATTTTAAAGTGAAAGCCCTAAAGCTGGGGTGCTGACAAAGAGCAGGGGAACATTTATGCGCACTTGGAAAACAAGCCAGGCCAAAGGAGACAGCAAAATAAACAACCTACCACCTTTAAATATTAACATCAGTGCTGCTGTTCTCTAGTGTGGAGGGATTATGTACTGGGAGCTAAACAAGGAAGTACAAGGACATGTGACTATATGTCTACTGTCCATGTGTGTCTTCACAATACCTGACAAAAACGTGGGATGTGGTGATATTCTCCAGATAATGAGATTTTAGTTTAAAGCTGTGACATTAGGCAGTAGGAAATCCAGATAGGCCTTAAATCTAAGCTGGAAATGATTCCATAACTCAGCTTAAGTTAAATATTCAGTTTTTAACCAAACCAGTTGTGACATGGCCGATGTTCCGATTTCTTCATGGAGTTTGGTGGTTTTCTAACCCACTTTAGCAGCTCATTAAAAAGTCCAGACATAAAACTAACAATAGTTCTTGATAATGGCTCTCTGTAGAAGCCCTCAACAGCTGCAGCCGCAGACCTTTGGGCCTAATCCAGTTATTTCTCCTCAGTCTCAAAGCTTTGGGATCATTTTAAAACTTGTATTTTACTGAATGATGATATAAAGTTCACAAGCAAATAATAACTTTTAGCTGTCACTTAGCTAATAAATAACATTTTAACATTTAACCTAAGTTACTAATAATACCACTGGGGGGCAACAATGGGTAGAAAGCAGCAGACATGTTGTTTTAACCTTCAGACAGGTTGTGATGGAGCTTGGTGGAAAAAAAAAAGCTGCAATACCTAAACTCTCCTGCAGGTGTCTCTGTTTCATCACAGCCAGAACCGATTTGCTGCTTGGAGGAGGAGGCTCTGGTCTCAGTCCACAGGGACCCACACTACCAGCACCAGTACTCTGTACGTCCTCCGCCGTCTCTGTCCGTGCGTCCATCAGAGGGACAACCCTCTCCTGCCTGTCTGTCTCCATCTGTCTGTCCGTCTGTTGTTTGGAGGACGCCACATGGCCATTACTCCGGGTATCTGTTGGGGCATCTGAGATGGCGTTTGAGCCATCGGTGTTGTCCTCTTTGATGTCACAGGTGCTGCTGCTATCCGAGTCCTCGATTTCTGCTCCGATACAGCTGTAGACCATGCTGACAAGGTCTGTGGACTGGATCAGGACCGGAGACATTTAATCACCGTTTACATCAAACGAAGTAGATGTCTTTGTGCTGAGTCCCAAACCGTTAACATCTAGTTTTGTGTTTGTAGCCCAAACATACTTCCTAATACACACAAATATGCTTTTATTAGTAGTTAAGTATCTCTCATTTTGCAAAGTTAAGCCCTTAAATACCCTTAAACTATACAAGCTACCCATTTGGTTCTGAGTGTTTGTGTTTGTGTGTTTGTGTGTGTGTGTGTGTGTGTGTGTGTGTGTGTGTGTGTGTGTGTGTGTGTGTGTGTGTGTGTGTGTGTGTGTGTGTGTGTGTGAACAGATTTAAAATAGACCTTCAAGTCTAAGTTTCAAACACATCCAAGAGATAAAAAGGCTGAGAATAGCAGGTGGTGGGCACAGCATGCCGTTCTGCTCTGTCGTCACATGGGACTCCTGGAACCGGCAGCTCTTACGTTGAAACTGTGACGATGAAACAGACTGTACAGCTTAAGAAACTGTAATTTATTCTTTAAAAAAATCCTCCACCATGTTATGGTTCTTAAAACTAAAACGTGCTAATTAATGTAGCTTTTATGGCGTACAAGAATGCAGCTGTCGCAGTTGTTTGTTTATTCTCTTGGATTCAGAATCTAAAATGCTATTTCCTCCAGACTTATGGATCTCCTAGAATTAATATCTGCTTGATTTCAGGGTTTGGGAGGTCAGATTTTGAAGGTAACTGTTGTGACCTTCAAACTCTTTGTACCTGTCTTTGGATGGGACAGGGGGGGCTAGCAGCCCTCAACCCATAAACAAGAGCTCCCTGAGTTGATCGAGGTGAAGGCATGGCCCCGTTAGGCCCAGGAACAGCACTCTCAGGCCTCCCCATCTCCTTAGGGTGCTGAATCATGGAGTAGACGTTCTCGGAGGCTCCACTAGAGCAGGCAGAAAAGTGACAAACATGTCAGGCAGGAGCGGGATAAGGAAAGAATGACTGATGGATGCAGGAAGTGATTTGTGATCCAACTTGACCTCAACAATTCAATAAATGCAATAATCCTCATGAATTCCTTTGAAAAACACATTCAGATGCTTTGACACGTACACAGCCTGCCTTTGGTACAAGCAAATGTAGAAAACAATCACAAGCACGATATCTTTATAAAACCTTAGCCTCAATCTCCAGATGGAATAAAACTTTATGAACTGATTTTACATCTGTCTGATGAGCCAGCTGCTCTTTTATTCAGCTCAAGATGTGAGGTTGCATTTCTTTAAGCACATCTGTGATCAAAACAAAACAATCTGTAGCTCTCACTCACCGCCATGCTTCTTTGTTTTCATAAATGATACAGTTTAATAGTCCGGCTGAGAGCTGCATTTCCTCTTCTTTGTGAGCAACGGCCAACCGTTCCCACTTGGCGTCAAAGACGTCGGTAGTGCTTATGTAGTTTTAGTATCAGTGCACTTAGAAAGTTGCTCAGTTTTTGTCTCATTTTAAAGATTCTGATTAGAGAAAAATCTGTATCAGACAAATGTAAGCTGAGTTAAAAAAATACAAAGTTTTCAAATGATGGATTTTTTTTTTTATTAAAAGGACAAAATCCATGTAAATCAACCTGACCCCATGTGAAAAGTGACTTCCCTGTTGTTAAGTCAAGGATCACCTGAGATTATTTGAATAGTTCAGTTCATTATCCACACCTGATCACTGTCAGATGTCTGAGTAAAAGATCACTCAAACAGAATGTGTGGAATGATCAAACTAAAGAGGAACCTTTAGGAAGGTGTGTGTGTGTGTGTGTGTGTGTGTGTGTGTGTGTGTGTGTGTGTGTGTGTGTGTGTGTCGTCGCATCTGGTGTAAACCTGACTCTGCGTTTCAGAAATAGAATGCTATAGCAACAGTCAGACATGGTGGCAGTAGTGTGATGGTCTGGAGCTGCTTTGCTGCTTCAGGACCTGGACCACTTGATGTAAGTGATGAAACCATGAATTCTGCTCTGCTCTCTCTAAATCCTGAGGGAGAACACCCAAGCGTCAGCTGTTGAGTGCAATGGCAGCAGAACAATGACGCAACGATTTTAGGCAAGTCCAAGGAAGAATAACTAGAACAAAGAAAGACATAATGACGTTAAATAATGTTTTGGAGTGACCAAGTCAAAGTCTGGATTTAGATCTGATTCAAAAACTAGAGGCGACAGTGACAAAGGAGTTAAGTGCTCGCCTTGGAACCGTAGGGTTGTAGGTTCAAGCCTCGTCTGCTGCTGTTGCTGTGTCTTTGGGCAAGGCATTTAACCCACCTTGCCTGCTGATGGTTTTTGGAGGAACTGGTGGCGCCTGTGTTCAGCAGTCTTGTCTCAGGGTAGCTGTGGCTACATTGTAGCTCATCACAAACAACCAGTTACTAAGTCTAGGGGGCAACCATGTACTCAGAACCAGATTGGTTTGGAAAGCTTGTTTCCTTTAATAAACTAAACAAGAATTTGGACTCTGTATTTTCAATTTGACTCAGGTTATCTTTGTCTGATTTTGACATTTGTTTGCTCACCTGTAACATTTAAGTGTGTCAAAAAAAAAAAAAAAAACAGAAGACATCTGTAAACGGGTCAAATGCTTTTCCTTGGCAGCATAATTATTCAGAAGTATACAGTGACGTAAATGTAAATGCCCTGTGCTGGTATCATTTACCAGCCTTTTGCTCTACTAGCCCGCACACTTAAATGCTACATTAGTTTCCCTCCTCCACTCAGCCGCTGCAACAGCCACTCACTCTGAGTCCTGAACAGAGAAGGTGGAGTTACGATTCTTTCGGAAGCCAGAGAAAATCGACAGGACGCTGCGTCTTTTCTTCCTCCTCAGTGACTGGGCCTGATGGAGGGATGACAACTGACTAAAGGAGAAGAGGAACAACAGAAAGGGCAGGCAAGAGGTCACAGTTCCATCAGGAGCAACGGCAGGGTATATTTACATATTTTCACCAAGAAGGGTCACGTGGATCAGTGTGGCTGAGATATAGGAGAACAAGCCACCTGTACACTGTCATGAAACCTAAAAGCGTTGAGAAGTCGTTTATCATTTCTATAAAATTCACTGTAGACAGAGAGCTGCTCAGTAAGTTTCTCTGCAATGTATGATACTTTAAAAACCCAAACTGTTGTTTGAGGAAAAAATAAAGCACATAAAACTAGATGGAAGAAAGTGCATCAATGTGTGAAAAGGTTACATGAAAATAGTTCTTTAAAGAGCAAGTCACCCCTACCAGATTCTTATTCCACTCCCACTTTCTGTTTGAAAACTGCAACAAACGCTGTTTTCTAGCAGACCAAGAAGGCGGAGCCGCTAACCCCAAAATTCCACCACCTCTGCTCCGCTCCGCTCCGGCACGAACTCCGCAGCAAAATCTGTCCCGTTGTAGTCAATCAGAGCTGTTCCACAACTGCGGCCATGCGGCGCAGGGGCCCGCCGTTCCGCCAACCAGCAAAAATAGGATTGATTCTATTTTTGCCGGACGCCGGAGCACCTCCGCAGTCAATGGACTGAAATCACAACCGCCCAACAGAAAAGGGAGCAAGCACAACCTCCGTTATTTCACAATAAATCGACAAACAAAAAGCGTTTTTTGTTTCATATGCACAGGTTTAACAACTTTTAACAACTATCAATGGCGACTGAAGTTTAAATGCACAAAAGTAAGCCATAAATACAGTTTCCACTATCAAAGTAGTCACACTTTGTTGATCCAGACACTGCTGATCTCTCAACACAAATGATGGGCAGATTAAACAGTTCATTTTGATGCTTCTCCCACACAACGGGTGTTTGGATCTAGCTTCCGCGTTCATTGCTCGGACTGTATTGCAAGATCTCGAAAATCCCGCACATGCCTGTTTGCGCACCTCAGGTCTCCGCACCGGAACCGAGCCATTGTAGAGCGGGTACCAGTAAAAATTGAGTTCGGAAGTGAGCGGCTGCGGAAGGCGGGGGCGGAGCAGAGCGGAGGTAGTGGAATCTTGGGGTAACAAATACACGCACACACACACACAGGCTCAAAACGACATTGTGACATCATATGGTACCAGCTAACGTTCTAGGGTACCTCTTAGCCAATAATGATGGCAGATTTAAATTCAAATGCAGTGCAGAGTTTTTACCTGACAACGGCACAACACTGACAGTTTTAGGCAGAAAATTAAAATTTTAACTAAAATGCACTAAAGTGCAAAACTAGTGACTACACGTGTCTGCAGCACGATTAGACATGCATTTATATTGTTTATCAGAAAAAAAATGTTGATTTGGGGGTGACTTGCTCTTTAAAGAAACACTAACTTTAAACCGTTGCTTTAAAACTAGTTTCAGTGATTCTTGAGCCACAAACTCAAATAACTTCACACTGAATTGTACTCAGTCGCACTCCGCTGACCAGAAATTACTCTCAACAGTTTTGTGATTCAGGTAAACGCACTAGTAAGAGCGTTCTGCCTGCTTACTGTGCTGATAGCTCATGTAAAGGCTATGGCTGTAGGTTTGTTGGAATCAAAGACTTGTTTTAGTTACCTGAGTGTGATTCAGTAATGCCCTGAAGGGTATTGCAGAGCAGATGCTGACTGCAGCTGAGCAACACCTACAGAGAAGCCTGAATGTTTTATAATCAGCCAATAAATATCTGGTAGCTCCAGAGAGAAAAAAATCCAAATACTGAAGTGTTTGAAGTGGAAATAAAGACCCAGTTTATGCAGCATTACAACATAGTCGGTTTGTTTTTGTGTCACTGCTGCTGAATTCAAGTTCAATTCAATTCAAGTTTATTTATATAGCGCCAAATCATGACAAGAGTCGTCTCAAGGCACTTCACATAATAAACATTCCAATTCAGGACAGTTCATTAGGCCAATCAGAAAAATTTGTCCTATATAAGGAACCCAGCAAATTGCATCAAGTCACCGAACCAAACAGCATAAACAAATCAGACAGCTGCAGGTTTACACACTGACTGTTAGGGTGTACTTTGATTATTTTTGAGATTTTCAGATAAAAAGTACTAGAAAAGGTTTGATTGAATGAATGGACAGGGCAATATTTTAAAAGCATTTACAAGACAAAGTTCAACCAATCATGGATGATAATTGAAAGCCCTAAACCTTTTAAAACACAATTAACCTCTTATGCTGTTTAGTGTATTTCCAAGTTTTAGTCATGTTTTTGTTAAAACTGAGGATTGATTAGCCAGTTTATGTTTAGTTCAGCTGAGATCACCTGGAAATTCTGCTGGTTCTTTATTTTATAGTTTTATTATGAATGGAATATGTAAATGTAGCATTTGAAAACAAACTCTCTAAAAATAATTAAGATTAATAGTTTACAGGGTAATGCTGGGTTTGTTTAGGCCTCTCTGCTGGGGCTGCTAAGGTAGAACGACAGCTTCATCAACTTTATTTTTGACCACCTGGTCAATCGACATGCCAAACATAAGGTTGTGAATCATCAACAAGGGGATTAGATCCTGGATATATGTAGCTAAAATCAGCTTCTTCTTTAAAGGTGGTCAGATTCAGCCTCACAACAGTTGAGGAGCTGAATCATCTGGGAGGAGTTCAGAGGAGCTGCACCTCCTCATCAAAAAGAGATGATTAGAACTTAATTGGAAGGCTCATAAATGCACTCTATCCTGAGAATGTCCAGGAAATACTCAAGAGGAGCTGAAGAGTGTTGCTGAGGAGAAGAATGGGTGGGCTCTGCTCTGGGATCTGTTTTTACAAAACATGATCTTGCAAAGGGATGGATGGATGGATGGATGGATGGATGGATGGATGATGGATGGGTGGGTGGGTGGATGGATGGATGGATGGATGGATGGATGGATGATGGATGGGTGGATGGATGGATGGATGGATGGATGGATGGATGATGGATGGGTGGATGGATGGATGGATGGATGGATGGATAATGGATGGGTGGGTGGGTGGATGCATGGATGATGGATGGGTGGATGGATGGATGGATGGATGGATGATGGATGGGTGGATGGATGGATGGATGGATGGATGGATGGATGATGGATGGGTGGGTGGGTGGATGGATGGATGGATAATGGATGGGTGGGTGGATGCATGGATGATGGATGGGTGGGTGGATGCATGTATGGATGCATTGACGGATGGATTGATGGATGGATGATGGATGGGTGGATGGATGATGGATGGGTGGATGCATGGATGGATGCATTGATGGATGGCTGGCTGGATGGATGGATGAGTGGATGGATGATGGATGGGTGGATGCATGGATGGATGCATTGATGGATGGCTGGATGGATGGATGGATGGATGAGTGGATGGATGCATGGATGGATGGATGGATGGATGAGTGGATGGATGGATGGATGGATGGATGGATGGATGTTGAATGGGTGGGTGGATGCATGGATGATGGATGGGTGGGTGGATGCATGATGCATTGACGGATGGATGGGTGGATGGATGGATGGATGGATGGATGGATGGATGAGTGGATGGATGCATGGATGGATGGATGATGGATGGGTGGATGGATGATGGATGGGTGGATGCATGGATGGATGGATGGATGGATGGATGGATGGCTGGATGGATGATGGATGGGTGGGTGGATGCATGGATGGATGGATGGATGGGTGGGTGGATGCATGGATGATGGATGGGTGGGTGGATGCATGTATGGATGCATTGACAGATGGATGGATGGATGAGTGGATGGATGGATGATGGATGGGTGGATGCATGGATGGATGGATGGATGGATGGATGGATGGATGGATGGATGATGGATGGGTGGGTGGATGCATGGATGGATGGATGGATGGGTGGGTGGATGCATGGATGATGGATGGGTGGGTGGATGCATGTATGGATGCATTGACAGATGGATGGATGGATGAGTGGATGGATGGATGGATGGGTGGATGGATGATGGATGGGTGGATGCATGGATGGATGGATGGATGGATGGCTGGATGATGGATGGGTGGATGGTAACCTTAGTAGCGATAGGGGAATCTACCTGTCAGGAAGGACCCTTTTGCTGTAGAAGTCAGGCAGTCCATCCTCCAGCATACTGACTGCTCCATTCTCTGCACTATGCTGCACGCACACACACACACACACACACACACACACACACACACACACACACACACACACACACACACACACACACACACACACACACAAACAACAAAGATCAATTTACCACGTCTACAGAGAGCTGAAAGGCTGACAGTGTATTAAACTTTCAAGCGGCTGACTGGCAAACTGAACTCCAAGAGCCAGCAGAGGTCCATTTGTTAAATGTCTTTTTAACACACTTCTTTAACTACATTTCCCTCAATTTACATAAAAAAAACTTTCAAAAAGGCTCTAAACAAACAAGCTGCTCAGTTTGTTGATGCCCCTGGGAGATGGCAGTTCGCTATTAACATTTGAATCACAGACACATGTGGCAGCTTCTTACTTTAAAGAAAACTTATTTTTGGAAAGAGCCTCGGGCCACAAACACCAGATGAATGACTGAAGTTACAACACAAAGCAACAAAGGGAAGATGAAGAAAAGTATCCCTGAAAACAACACACACTGAGCGTTCAGCACTCCCGAGATTTCTTGTTTTCCAGCCTCTACTCACAGATTCAGGAGAAAGATTCATGGCTCGGTGTCGCCGAGGTGGGCGTGGCCTGACGTGGGTCACATGATGTAAAGGTGAGCCGTTGGTGGGGAGGGTGGAAAGGCATTCCCATGATGCCGAATGGGTAAGAGAGACAGAGTGGGAAGGAGCGGACGGTGTAGGGGAGGGACTGGGCTCGTCACCCAAACCTTTGGGCCAGAAACCAACAAGAATCTCATTATCTGGTCACATCTGACCTGCAGCGCACTTATTAATATTAAACGAGATTCTTTTTGCTTCTGACATGAAGGTGTTTCGAGATGCCTTTACATGTTTCATTACAGATGAAACAGACCGCAAACAGGAAGAAGAACACATCAAACAAGCACTAACCCTCTGTCAGGATCCAAAATGGGCCATAGAAAAAGAAAAACAAGTCAAAGAAAATAAAAAAACAGAGAGACCAAAAAGAGAAATCAAAAACAAAGACCAGACCACACGCACACGGACACCATCACAATTCCATATTTCCGGGAAGTCACAAGACGTTTTCAAAGGGCCATGAATAAACAACAAATCAACACAACCGTCAAACCTCACATGAAACTCAAACAGTTACTAGCACACTCCAAGGACAAAATAGAACCTGATAAGAGATGCAAGTAATTTACGAAATACCCTGCATGTCGTGCAATAAAACATACGTAGGGGAAACTGGCAGAACATATGACATGAGAAGAAAAGAGCACCAGAAGGAATGTGAGAAGGAAACAACAGAAAGACTCACAAGGACAACAAAGACAAAAAGCAGAGGAGCAAACCCTCACGTCAGCCATCTCAGATCATTGCAAACGAAATAATCACATCATAGACTGGGATCAAGGGAAAATGATCAACATGGAGAACAACCGGTTCGGGCGTTGGGTCAGGGAGGCAATAGAAATAAGGAAAAGTGAGCATTGGAACATGAACAGAGACGAGGGGGCCCATCAGCTGTCTCGCACCTGGGATTCCCTTCTTCAAAGACCAGCCAGCGGAGGTACGCGTGACCGACCCGGCAGATCAGACAGATCCGGGTTGGCCGCGCCCACCAGAAGAACAGCTGATTAAGACGCGTCGCACAAACACCTGTGACATTTCTGATGAAGACCGCTGACGACGGTCGAAACATGTAAAGGTAACTCGAAACACCTTCATGTCCGAAGCGAAAAGAATCTTGTTTAATATTTGGAAAAAGGACATATTTAACACTGTAAAGGATGCAGCACACTTATCTAAGAAACTGTAATCTTAACCTCCCACAATCTAACATAGAGCAACAATAAGGTTTTCTTTATGACATCTCATGGATGTTACATTGACATCAGAACAGTGTGCTTAAATGTAAAACGAGATCACTCGTTTCATTGTGGTGTGACACACACACCACTCATGTGGAAGAAATGTAATCTCAAGGCCTAAACGAGCACATAGGCATGAAACTCACTCAGTCTGGTGGAGACGGGGCGGATTCTTCGAGTTCTGGAGCTCCGCTTCTTGATCGCCATTGTGTCCTGCAGTCAGAGAATATCAGGAACAGAGACTTGCTGTCATGTTTTCCTCCCAAATATAAGAGGTTGAAACAGAAGACTTTATGACCATGCTCCAGAGATTATTTAAAAATTCCCAATTATTTGGTGCAGTTACCTTAGACCTCCTTTAACAGTGGATTAGGACCCTGCTTTCTAGGGTTTACAGGAATATGGCAGAAGCTCCTTCAATGCTTTTTTCCCTAAAATCCCTAAAATATGTTTGCCCGACCTTCAACACGCTTTATACACCAGCAGCAAGCTTCACCTCAATGCTACCATGCACACTCATAATCAGACCACACGCTGCTTCCAATCCTGGTACAACTTGAGAAACGTCTACGTGCTGAACATCCAGCTATTAATGAGTTATGATGGACTCATGAATGGACTTAGCTTAAGCCTGTGTTAAGGTCTAACATGAAAGAGCAAACTGACCAAACCTCCAGCCCTACCCAGGAAGAAGAGTGTGGTCTACAGCAGTGGTTCCCAACCTTTTTCCCAAGGGACCCCGTTTTTTTCCCAGTAAAATTTTGGACGACCCCCTCCCATTCTCTCTTCCAGTACAAACATTATTAAGAAATGATAAAATTGTTCAAGCACATTTTAATATGCTTTGATTCAATAGATAACAGTAATAGTAGGCTCCAGTACAGAACAAAGTCATTGTCAAAACCAAACAGAGCATAATGTGCTTGGCAGTTACTATTACTTTTCTGAACACATTGTTTCTCGTAAACACTGATAAATCAATCATTCCTTTCAATAAATGTTGACACATAAAAAATACACTGAGCAAAATGTACTTAAATGTGTATATTACTGTTTATACTAGATTATTTACTGTAAACGCTGTGATCAATCAACCAGTCCTATCTTTAATGAACTTTTGACACTTGAAAATAAAACAGTGAGCTGAGCAAAACGTTCTTAAAAGTGTGTTACTTTTTCTGTACTAATTATTTCCTGTCTTAATATCAGTAAACTTTTCACTCATGAAAAAAAATGTGAGCAAAATGTAGGCTATAAACAAGTAATAAATGAAGTTTTAACCCCTTAAAGTGGAGAGGTCCTGGCGTCCCACTGAGAGGCTTTGGCGCCCCCTTGTGGGGGTCGGGACCCCCAGGTTAGGAACCACTGGTCTAAGATGTCATGCTTCTGCTCAATCATTTCTAAGAACAGTATCACACACGCCGGGGTTTTAAAGTTTAAAAATAATTTACTAATCATTAAGGTAAATTAGATTTTGCTGCAAATCATTGTTTAAGTGCGTTCAAAGATTTTTAGAAGCTGGTTGTGGCCATTGGCAGAAGGGATTTTTTTGTAGTGGTCTATTGCAGAATATCTGAAAAACCCTCTGGCTGAAGACACCGTTGCTTATTTACCGTTTTGTGAACAGGATGGCGAAGGATGTCCATCATATTCTTCCATTTATGAAACATATTCCTTTGTCCTATCTGTTCTAGAGAGTCCAGAGCAGTCCTAAAAATAGATTGAACTTTCTTTATCTTTATTTGAATGACGACAACAGCAGGATCCAAAACCAATGAAGAACATACAAACCAGAAAGTTGAGGTAAACGCCGTGGGTCAGGAGAGGATAGAATGTCTGTGTGAGCCTATTCCTGAACTTAACCTGAACTTTCCATGTTCACTTCATTAGCTGTGTCCTGACCTCTGTCTGTCTGAATCACCAGTGTTCTCACTGACCATACTTCCATTATTCTCACGGAGCACGATCTACAGTTTTTTGTTTTTCTTGCACTGCTTTCTAATCACCTCTTTGAGCATCTCCTCAATAATCTCTATGAATGTTTTATTTTCCTTGCAAAGAGGTTCGCCTTGCAAGATTTTTCTTGCAGGTCCTTGATGATCCAGGGTTTCTTATTGTGACAACTTTAGTATTCTGATGGATATGATGGTGTCCAGACAGAGGTTTAAATAGTCAGACACAGACTCAGTCGTGGCACTGATGTCATCTCAGTGTAGCTCAGAATGCCTCCCAGTCTACTTCAAAGCAGGATTCTATGTTGCTCTATGTTACAAACCCTGAAGTTGTTTAGTCGTTGTGGCGGAGGGGTAACATAAAAACTGGTGTGGAGAAAGGGGGAGTGTAAATAAAATGTGTTTTTATTAACAAAGGGTGAACACAATTACTCAGTCCTTGACTGGAAAAATGTCAAAACGCAAAATACCCTTGGACATAACTAACGAAGGCGACGGAGAAAACTCAAAACACCTCAGACAAACGGTCTCAGGGAAGAAAACACGAGAATATCGGTACTAACAAAAAAATAAATAAAAACACGCCGGAGCTAACTAACTAAAACAAATGTCGACGGCTATAACTATGATAAATATTATTACTACTAGCAAACTTAAAGCGAGCTCTAAGGCTGAAAAGGAAACTGAAATTCAAGCACTAGAGCAGACGAAAAAGGAATCACTAAACGAAAACGACTAATAATTACTCCATGGTTAAACAAAAGGAACTATCTATCTTAACTATCACGATCATCAAAGTTCTTTACTGAATTTTACCAAATCTAAACCGTATGTCACAAAGATCCAAACCGAGGAGAGAAAGACGGGGTGTTAAGCTGTGAGTCTCTCTACGAGAACTGAAAGCTGCAGTCTTTTAAACCACCTGTCCTCATTAGTTAATGGTATGCAGCCGGGACAGCGAAGGCGGGCAGAGGTGGAGGCCAGCCTGACGGAGGACCTGTCCAAGGTTCTGAATGGCATGGAGGGAGCAGGATGGAGGACCTGTCCAAGGTCCTGAACAGCATGGAGGGAGCAGGACTGGGCCATTCAATGTGCGGGAGCCCAGGATTCGTAACACTCTAGTTCTGATCCAAAGTTGCCTCCTAACAAGGTGGTTTAACACACAGCAGAAGACTAAAAGACTGGATCTGGATTCCCAGGAACAGGTTCTGCAGAGAAGCTATATGCTTCCCTGACATTAGCATAAAACAAATTGTGCTAAAACGAATAGACAAATTTGAGGTAAGAAATCAAACTATGTACCCTTTCTGTTGCTAGTCAGTCCAATGGAGACTTTACTGATATCATAAGGGAAACATGGGACGTCCCAAGTCTTAATCAGGGTACTTCAAAGGTCCTCAGTAATTCTACTTTTATTTTGAATAGAGATTTACTATTGCTAATTGTCATTTTTTTTATTTACACTTGTTGTTCACGGTAAAACTGCAAATGGTGAATTAGCTCCCTTCACTTGTAAACAGCTGAAAAATCTAGGGGACCACCAGTGGTACTTTTGAAAACCAATACTGGAAGATCATGCCAACCTTGACTACATAAATTCTAAATAACCAACCCATTCTCACTAATAAAGAATCCCCATCATGGATTTGCCAACATGCTCGTCTCAGGTCCCTAATGGGTTACTACAATCACAATACAAACACCATGAATACTATGAAAGCCCAAATTCCGACTTGGTCTATCAAGCTCCATCACAGCGGGGGGGGGGGGAACACTGGTCCTCAAGGGTTGGAATCCAGTATGTTTTAGCTGTTTCCCTGCTCCAACAGAGTTTAATCACCTGCACATTAAAATCAGGTGTGTTGGAGCAGGAAAACAACTAACATTCTGTGGATAGCGGTTCTTGGTGGACTGAAAAACTGTCCACACCCTGTATTTGTTTATTGTGTGAGATGGGGTTATAATTAAAAGGTATCAGCTTTGTCCTCTCCTACACAAACATATATTAAAGGTCTGGCACACTGTTTAATCATTACATTTGTAGTGTGTAGTAGAAATGAATGCCCTGTAAGCTGTACTCTGAGGAAATAAAGCACTGGTGCACCACTAACAGGAACTAGACTTGAACCACATCCAAGCTGAGCTTCAAACGGCAGGCTTGTTGTCTTATTTCCTCATTTTGGATAACTCGCCTCTGATTGGCTAACAGTAATGTGACTACCACTGGCTTGCAACGCTGATGTTTTACCTCCACAAATAATGCAAACCTGAAGGAGTTCTGCTGTGTGGTGGAGTCGCTAATGCTAATGGTTAGCTTCTACTAGTCGAGGTGATCTCTGCTGCTTCCTGGACACTAAACCAACAACAGCCTTCCCCGTTGTGGGCCAAGATGGGTGAGTCCATGAAAGCTAAGTGACAGTGTGACGTAGATCTGTCAGGATTTTCTTATCCTTGAGTTTTACCGTCTATTTTCTATCAGAAGTTAATGCCAGAGATGGGTGTAGGAGCCTATTTTCATGTTCAGCCTGTCTGAAAAACTTAGAGTGACCGATTATAATCAGAAAATAAAATAATAATTAAAAAAATCTGTTGTTTTGTGTTCCACACATTTAAGCATGAGAAGCTCAGTTTAACCATTACGGCCTTCAGTTGAATCTGCACATGTCTCAAACACTTACTATTCCCAGGTTGACGCCAAAATCCTCATCAGGAAATTCCAGAGGCTCGACCAGTCTCGACTGTCTGACAGTGCGTCTGCCTGTCCCGACGTCGTCCCATCTCTTTGCCTGAGACACCTGCCGCAGCTGATGCAACACAGAAACACACACAAACAATGAACTCACATAGATAGATTCTCACATCAATTAGATAATTTGTTGCTAAATATAGCCTCTGGTGAGAGGTGTGTCCGTCCTTGTGCTGGTGTGATTCATAAACACAGCGAAGGGCACTCTAATAAAAGTGCAGTCGAACCCCAAGAAGAATACAAATTAAAGACAATATCTTGATCATCAAAGCACAGCGAGGTATGCTAGAGGACACCATGGCACTGCAGCAAAACACGGATAGGAGGACAAGACATTACGGCAGAAGAATGCAAAGCAGAGTCGTGCTATTGCCAGAAGTTCATTTCTTCCTGCTTTTATTGTCTTCGTTTTTAACAATTCCATCATACTGAGAGGAAACCCTGCAGGATCAAAACACAGCTTTAACGAGCTGAAATCAAATGAAAGTGTTGTCTGAATGATCATTCATTCATCCTGATGTAGGGAGGACACAACTATCTACGTTCATCAGCCTTATTTATGGCTCAGCAGATCTGCACCAGAACTCAAGTGTTCTTCAGAGCAAGGCTTCAGTATAAAGTTATTAGCACACCTACACTCTGTCATTGAATTTAAATTTCTAAGCAGCTGTTTTCATCTCGTCGAGGTTCTGCATTAGGAAGCACAATCTGTTCAGTTAGTAGAACTCAAACTGCTTTTCTACTAACAGCTCTTTCTACACGATGCAGTGAGATGACATCCCATAGGGTGTAAGATTTTAAACGCTTCAGTTTGGGCTGAGCAGAGAGCGTTCTCTCTATGGCTAATTTATTTTGTTAACAATTTTAGCTGAATGTGACAATGTGTAGTTTTTGCTATTAATATCTGGAAATATCCATCAAAATGTAGTTGTAAATGAATTAAAAGACGCCCAGTTGTTGAAAACTATTGGTAGTTACATAACATATAACCATAACAATCTGTTCTAAAATACATGGGAGCGGGTCTACTGGCCGGATCACACTGTTATTTTTGGCCATCTTTGCCAAATCCTTCATCCTGAGCAGAATCGTGACAAAAAAAAACAAAAAAAAAAAAACGGTCAACATCAGGGTGATTTGCATGTCTGTGCACCATGCTGTGAACGTACAGTCTGACCGGCTCTGCAACAGCTTTCTGAGCCGTCTCACAACCAAATCAGCCTCAGAAAGTCTTCAAGCACTGCTTGAAAACCTACGATTCCTGTCTGCAATCGACCAATGAAAACACGCTGCTGCGGCATCCCAAAGGTGTTTCGATCAATGTTTAAAATGCAGATTATAAACTACACACCATTTATTATTTCTGTTAATAGCCCAAGTTAAACAGGAGTTACACTAAAATAATGAAACAACCTTTTTTAGACCATCAGATAAGTTGTGAAAACTGATTCTGGGATCTGTGAGAGCTGAGAGGAGATGAGCTCGCAAACACAAAAAATAAAACACAAAACTATGAGATCCCCTTTGCTGTTGATGGAAATTTCACATATTCAACTGAAAAGGTTGGTTCAGTAGTGTTTTGCTGCAGAGGGACAGAGGAAGCTCTGCGACAGCAGGTGTGAGCTGTCAAACGGAGCGGAGCTGTGGAGCAGTGAGACGGAATTCACTACAAAAGTTATACTGCAGCGATCTGTGACAGATTGTTACTCTCTTCGTTTAGTCCTTGTGCATAAAGGAGGAGAAGCGTGACTGACCAGCTGACAGCAGCTGTTTAGCTGGAAGACGGGAAAAGGAGACCCGCAGCTGGAGTCAGACGCCAAAGAGAGGGTTTTAAACGTGAAGCTTCCTCTTTAAGGAAGATGAGCTGGGTCATGAACTGACACTAAAACTGTTTTTTATTTTTTCAGCTTTGTTTTGGTTAGCGGTCTGCTTAGTGACGCATGTGTTGGGAGGTGCGCTCATGACGCCTGCGTGTTCTGCAGGACCGAGACGTCGTGCAGTCTGACTCACCGAATCTTGCACCGTGCAGTGTGCCACAGTTCTGGAGTTCTCACAGAGTGACATGAACAATCCTGTGCAACAGCCACAAATCAAACAGTGTGGTCTGGGCATATGTCTCTGGGTGACATCATACTGGATGCCATATTTTCTTCTATGGAAGCCCATGAGGACAAAACGCATTTACTTATTTGTAACAAATGGTGACAAAACGTTCACCGAACAATAAACGTGTTGTTTTACACATTTACCTCTTCAATCATTGCCAGTGATGAGAGGGAGTCTGGTGTTCTTGTTATTTTGCTGGAGGTTGTGCTCCCATGGCTTTTTGGCCTAATGGCCATCCCTTAGTAAGGTCTTAGTCGAACACAAAAGTACCGCTTGCTTGCTATGATTTAGGTATGTACTGCCCCCATCACAAGGAAAAATACACACTCTCACTTTAATCTGTCGTGGTAATTCGATCTTTGCCCACAATTTTAAATAATACTGAAGAAAAGCAAAAAATAAGTTGCATTTCTCAAATAACGGGTGGTAACGTCTTACAAATGTTGTAACGTACCAAAAGGGTAATTTTTCACCTATATTGATCAACATAATAACCTTTCATCTACAGAAATAAATCCAAGCCCAGAGAGTTCTGTTCAGTGCTTGCTGACTTAAAGGAAAGACATAACGAAACTGTCAAGGTCGTGCAATCTCTGCGTAAAAGCCAGACGTCAACAGTCTTCACTCTGAACAAGTGAAGACTCCATGACTTTTTAGTTATAAGTTAAATAATCATATGTGATGAATGAACAAGATGTTAGGTTTGAATCACCTGTGCTTAAATCAATGAATTTGAAATGAATATTGTTCTTAAAATGATCCATTTATATCACAAATCACTGTGTTTGATTTAACAAGTTAATCATTGTTTACACTCACAAACATTACAATAAGATACATATTAAGGGTAAGAAGCTTGTATCTGAGGAGGGCGTGGCTTTCTGAGGGATGCTGGTAAATGCTCAGAAACGTGTCAAATTCTGATTGGCCAAACTTGGCCAGAAATCATAACAAAGTAGTTTAATAAAACAAGAATTACTTTCTGATTAATTCAGTTTCTCGCGGACCCTCGAACCGGCCAATTCGGGAAAGAAGCATTTCTGAAACCATCTTCTCCTTTGACCTCCTCTCAAAGCCTCTCTGCAACGCTGCGGCTGATGCCAGACAACCGGCTCTCTAAGAGCCAAGCAAACATCAACCTCAGACGCAAATAAGCATTCCAGCTTCCTGCTGTCACCTCGAGGGATCTCAGACTGGACGGGTCCTATCAGAGCTTATCTACGGGTTTCTGATATCAGAGGTTCACTCCACCGGCAGTGACCCGCACGACCCCCCGGATTGAAAGAAAACCTCCACACCAAGGGTGCGTAGACTTGGCACGATAGATTGCATCTGATGCTGTTTTTAATAAACAACTCTGTAGTTTAGAACCAAACAACAAATTATTTTACACCCACATTTCACAATTTCTCTCAGATACTAAAGAACGGTTGCTACAACATCTAGCTTCCATCACAACACCTCACATCCACCACACCACATCTCATTAGTCATATCTTGTCATGTATAAATTATTAGTTTAGGAAAAAGAATGAAATTAATTTTATAAACTATATACCTGACTTTGTCTGAATTAATACGAAGCGTGTTTATGGTCCCTGAAGAAGCAAAAAACATTTATTTTCAAAAACTCGAATTTTGGAATTTTACCCAGACTCAAATGCCAAATGGCAGTACCTAAAATGTGAAACTTTACACTCATGTCTATCTATTCTAAAAATCAGCCCTAACATTTCATTACAATATTTCCTTGTGAAATAGTATTTCATAGATTCTTCTATAATTAAAATTGCACAAAACCTCTAACTTAGAATAAGACTTTTCAGTTTGACGGATGAAAGAAAAAGTGAAAAAGTCTTCTAGCATTTTTTGGGGTTTTTTGGGGGTTGAGTTGCAAAATGACCAACATTTAAGCTTGAATGTTCAAACATGTTATTGCATGGATACTGAATAATAATTACACTTGTTGCATTGAATAATCAGTTTGAAAGCCACATGTTTAGTTATGATGTATTAAAAATTATAAACTACTATGGGACATTAGCAGCTGTATATACAATACATTTGTAATTACATGCTGTTACCACTGGATCGGACATTGCCTATTACAAGAATACTGACTAATGTTGAAAAAGGGAAATGTCTCCTTAAGATTCATTCAACCCAGATAAATGTACCTGCTTTAGCTTCATTTAACTATATTTGACACTTTTTAATAAACACAAAATGCAACACTTGTACTAATTGATTAAATATACCTCAGGATCTACCCTGCTTTCATGCCAAAACTAATTAGCAAGCTACGCTACATGGTGCAGTGATACTGGAGCTAATCTCCATCACTTATGATCCCAGAGAGTAAGTATCTAGTCGTTAGCTCATCAAACACAGACTGGGAACCAAACTGCTTGGAATACATTTAAGTGAAAAAGTAAGTTTGTTTTAGATAAGTACTACAAACACCTTTCTTCTATAATCTACAAGAAGTCATGCATTAAAGAGATATTACCAGTACCAGTGTTTTATGGGTGGTGTAGAGCTCCTGTAGGATCTGATCCACTATGGAGTTGGTCAGATAGGAGACCACAGACAGCTTCACCTCCCTGAGATAAAAGACATCATTTCAGACAACATGTTCACCCCAGTTCCTACTGCTTCAACCTGTTTAAGCCACTCTGGTCCTCACTCCAAGGCTCTGTTGATGTCCTCGGCCGCCCTCTCCATCAGGGCGCAGCGGATGGTGGTGCGAGGAATAGAAACTTGCTCTGAGATGGACGAGAGAGGCGGGCTGAGTCTCTCTGCAGCTGAGCAGGACATGGGACATAACTCGCGGCAAAGAGACACCATTGAGTCCACGACCACCTGGACAGAAGGCAACATCAACATCACCGTCCAATTTTCTAAATACACATTCACATAAAGTATTTTATTCCTAATCTAGAGCATGATTGTTTGCTTGCTTTAAAGTAGCTTTTCATTCAGATTTTATCGTCCTTCTTTACAAATACTGTGCATTCACCTGAATGGGGAAACAACGTTTGAATGCTTGTGAATTCAAATGCCACCTTTTCTTTGAAGTCAGCAAACGTATGAAACACGCAACATTAATGGGCAATTTAAATGCAACTAGTTCACTACAGTTTAAATTACAACCACAAAAGGGAAAGAATGGTTCTGCTAATTCAGCAAAGTTTCAGCCCCGGCTCCACCTGCAGTTCCTTGTCAGCAGCCTTGGCCAGTTCTCCAGCCAGGGTGTCCAGGCGCTGTTTGACGGGCCCGTCCACCGATAAGACATGGGCCAGCTCGCACAGAGACGGATACAGCTGATGGAGACACAAAGCAACTCATTAAGATAAATCAAAGTCTTCAACAAGGACACACGACCCCATTACAAACAACACGTTTAACTGTAAGCTCCAGCTAATGTGCACATTATCAGATATTATTACTTAAAGCATTTTAAAAGCAAGAGAGAGGGAACTCATTAGGAGCTCCTCAAAGTGAGGTCATTATTTGCTTCATTACAGTTTGAAGGCATATTTTTACCAACACATTACTGCGCAGGCAGCACATTGATGATGCAGCTTGTGCAGATGAAGTAAACGGATTATGGAAGAGAAAATTGTATTGTGAACCTATAATAAGGGTAATGATGCATGGGAATGTTGTGGACTTACTGTATTTGGCATCTAGGCAAAGCAACATAAAGTGATTACAGGAACCGAGAAAGAACACGGTTGGAAATGTGTTCTTATAACATTGTCTTGAGATAATGAGTTATTTTTCACTGCTTGCTTTTGCCAACAAATAAGGCAATATATTTATTTTGACTTGGAGATGCTGGTTTATCTACAAAATATTTTGTAGTACCATAAAATAAAAGAGTCCTTCATAAGAAATCAACAGTCATGCTAAAAATCAGGAGAAATCCATCATATAAAAGTAATAGAGCTACACTGTCCAAGTCCAGTCTCAAGTATCTGAGGACCAAGTCCAGTCTCAAGTATCTGAGGACCAAGTCCAGTCTAAAGGATCTGAAGTCCAAGTCCACTCTCAAGTATCTGAGGTCCGAGTCCAGTCTCAAGTATCTGAGGACCAAGTCCAGTCTAAAGGATCTGAAGTCCAAGTCCAGTCTCAAGTATCTGAGGTCCAAGTCCAGTCTCAAGTATCTGAGGACCAAGTCCAGTCTAAAGGATCTGAAGTCCAAGTCCACTCTCAAGTATCTGAGGTCCAAGTCCACTCTCAAGTATCTGAGGTCCGAGTCCACTCTCAAGTATCTGAGGTCCAAGTCCACTCTCAAGTATCTGAGGTCCGAGTCCACTCTCAAGTATCTGAGGACCAAGTCCACTCTCAAGTATCTGAGGACCAAGTCCAGTCTAAAGTATCTGAGGTCCGAGTCCACTCTCAAGTATCTGAGGTCCGAGTCCACTCTCAAGTATCTGAGGTCCGAGTCCACTCTCAAGTATCTGAGGTCCAAGTCCACTCTCAAGTGTCTGAGGTCCGAGTCCACTCTCAAGTATCTGAGGTCCGAGTCCACTCTCAAGTATCTGAGGTCCGAGTCCACTCTCAAGTATCTGAGGTCCGAGTCCACTCTCAAGTATCTGAGGTCCGAGTCCACTCTCAAGTATCTGAGGTCCGAGTCCACTCTCTGTAGGAGCTAAAAGCAGTGTTTTGTGTACGTGCATGTTGACATGTTGCTCATCAATGCCAGCCGTTTATCAGGCAGCCCAGCTGCTGAGTACATGCTCCAAAAACATGTTGATCTGTCCAGCTTATGTAAGTTTCAACTACTTTTGACCATATTAGGATGTGGAAGTAGCACCCCATCATTTCTCAGAATCAAAAGGGAGGTGGGGGTTGAATAGTATAACTGATGCTGCGTGGTGTAGGAGAGTGGGCTTTTGCAGAAGGATCTCCAGCCGAGGTGTTTAGATCGAAGCTGGACGCTGTCCCCTGTGAAGTGTTGGTGATGTATGGATGAGTTGTGTAAATAAATGCCCCCCGCTGAGTTTGGACAAAACCTGTCTCTTTCTTGTTTTTGATAAGGAAAAAGAACCACATTTGGCGACCACGAAGCGGGAAGTAGAGGTGTGCTCTTCGGATCGTTTCGCAGCCCACGGAATAAACTTCTGGGCCCTAGGTAAGAACAGTTTTTGTTCAATTTTGGAGTTATTCCGTGGACTGAGAACTGGTCTGAGAGAAAAAACATGCCCTTCTCATAAATTAGAAGTTATAATAACAAGAAGAGGCATTTGTCCAGAGCAGCGGTGAAATTATTCACACATGTGTGAAGTCAGCTGAGTCATTTTGATGACGGACAAAGTTTAAAGTGACAAATTAAAAGCTGGGACAGCGAGAATTGGAATAGAATTTGACAGCTGATAAAAAAAAAGTCCAGGGAGGACAAGTAATAGGTCGACAATTGAGATCCAGTATGCCCCGGTGAGGCCGGGATAAGATTGGGATCTGAGAAAAAGCGCTGAAGTTGTGACAGATAAGCTTGCCAGTAATTCGGTTGAATCCTCGGGGATTGGTAAATTTCATGAGTTTTTGGCAAAGATATGTTTGACGTCAGAGTTTGCAGCAAAGTGGCTGTAAACAACTCTAGAGCTCAGAAATTGTTTGTTTGTGTGAGTGTGTTTGTGAGAGAAGTTTTGTGGGTGGGACAGGCGTGTGAGATAAGCGTGTGTGTGTGGAGGAGATAAGAGTGTGTGCGAGTTGAGAAGTGGGTGCGTGAGTTGAGAAGGTGTGTCAGGCGCCAGAGAATTAGAGGAAAAAAGAAAAACAAAGGAGTAATACAGATCAATATTGTTCACTGCAGTGCCAAATTTTGATGTTTAATGTTATACAAATTTCAAAGTCTGTGATCTTGTTCTGATTAGTCTTTAAACAGAAAACCAGAAGTTAAAATAATTAGTTTTAGAGTGACATATATATAAATAAAAATATATGCTGAAGTGCACAAGCATGATAACTATTTTTACCAGCTGGGTAATGTGAAATATGAGAAATATAGATTATGATTAATAAATAAATAATAATGTTTATGCGTGTTGAGTGTGTGGCATAAAATGTTGCTTTGGTGTCAAATTGCTTTGAAGTGTGTTTTTCTTATCTCTATGCAAGTGTGAAAGCTTTGCTGTGTGTGGTTGTTTTACTCGTGAAAGGTCAAATACTCTGATCTTGTTTGGGCTGTTGCTTGAATGAACTGGAGAGAAGCTGATTCTTCTTCTGCTGATTCGGTCTCTCTTGTGGTTGACTTTTTCCTGTGTTGTGATGCTATAAAGCTGTATGAGAGTTGCTAAAATCTGAAGGCTGAATGCTCTTGGGTGTCGTCAGCGTGTTCGTTTCTCCGTAGACACCCTGAGCTGTCAGACCCAAGTTTAGACTGAGCAGAGGGGCCAGTCCAGAAGCGCAAAGCTCCACCTACAAGCTGTCCTCTCCATACACACGCACAGACACAGAAGTACAGAGGCGATCCCGCCTCTGACTCCACCTCTGTGTGTGGATAGGTTGGTGAGCCAGAGGGCGTAGAGAAACCCCACCCTGTGGGCTGAGTTTTGCTCACACACAAGCTTGAGATTCAGCATAAGGCTATTTTTAGCCTGCCACTGCACAGCTGCTGAGGAAAAAAAAAAAAAAAAAAAAAAAAAAAAAAAAAAAAAAAAAAAAAAAAAAAGGGAAAATAATACATATTGAATCCAGATTTAAAAGGTTCACCTATAAAAACTTTCAGGCATTAAGTTTTCTTTCAACAATAACTAAAGCTTTTTGAACTAACTTTACTTTAGTGTTACATCAGAAGAGATTTGATTTTAAGGCATTTACAATAAGAAGATAAATTGTTCAACATTTGTGTAAACAGAGCAATAACAGATTACTCAAGACCACAGCATCATATGTCACCAGTATCTGTTTCAACTTTCAATTCTTGTGTTATTTTCAGGAGATTATAAATAAACAAACTAGTCAACTAATCAAAGGAATAATAGTGTCACTGAAACTTCAAAATGTCTGTCACGCCAGCAGGAATTTTGGCAGCGAAGAATCCTGCTTTAGCAAAAGAAATAAAGCACATGTCAGAGAAGTGGTCAAAACGGACGAGAAAACTATGCAATCCGTGGCCGTCTGAAGGCACTTTCGACGTAGCAGCATGTGATAATTTGGAATTGAGAATTCAGGATCATAAAGCAGATGGATCCAAGAAAAGACAGCAGAAAAGAGAAAAAGAAATTCAGATCCTGGACTTATTCAGGAATGAAGGAAAGATTTACAGACAGAACTTTAAACATGCCATTCTCAAAATGAAAGACAAATTGGACAAACCCCAGAAGGAAGTGAAGGCCCCAGCAGAAGAGGGCCTGTATCCCCTTTTGGGAACCGTTACAATTACGGGAGATTTTGATTTGCGCGACACATTCGACAAAGGTCCTAAGGGTTTAGATGTTGACAATGCAATTTTAAAATTAACAACATCATAGCAATCAGATGAAGCACCTGGCAAAGAAAAGCATGCAAAAGGAAGTGAGGAAAGAGAATTCGAACAAACAACTCCACCTCGTGGAACGCATCCAAAATATTGCAGTACAGAACGTCGAGCGGTAAGGGAAGAAGGACGAAGGGAGATTGATTGTTTTGCAGAACATAAGGATTTTTTGAAAAGGCAACCGAAGGCTAACTCATACTGGATTGACCTTGAGAACAAGGATGAGGATGTACATGATGAGCTAAACGATGTTGACCAAATTATACAGGACATATCTGAAGGCCTGCGGAAATCCTTAAATCACATCACAGGCACACATTCAGATGAGGTTAGTGAGAACACCACTAGCACAAGCAAGGAGAAAAATTTCAAGCCTTTTTACAAACCAGGCATTCACTCACCAGAGCGTGGTGACCCAAATACAGGTCTGACTCAGGAGAAGGAAAAACCAGGTCCTAGCAGTGAAAGCCGTGAGCTGAGACCCAGACATGACTTAAAACCACCTATTCGATACACTAATGATGGTCAGTACCCAATTTTAATTAAGGGCACAAGAGCTAATTATATTCCCTGGCAGAGCCTCGACCTCACTGGTTTGGTTTCGCGGCTGCCCGAGATACAAAATGGCGCTGGAAAGTGGATTGGGGCCTTCGAACAGGAGACAACTGGGCTAATGCTTGCCCTTGGAGATCTCAAAGCTATTTTGGCTCGAGTTGTTGGGACATCAGCTATGGGAACATTGCTAGCATCCAATGGAGTCCAATGGATGCTGGACCCAATGGCTGACGGCACGGAGTTTAACACATACAGAAATGCACTCTGGAACATACTAAGAGC